TTGTTACCAGAGAGACATTGCTACAGTTGGAGCAGGGGTACCGAGACGCGCAAATTGCTAGCGCTAATGCGGCGCGTTCCTCCGACGTGACCACTGCAGCCTCCCGATTCCTGGGCCGCATTTGGGCTTCCTCCACCATCATCTCCCCGAAGTCCTCCTCCACCCTCAGCCCGGGCCTCACCGCTCCGTCACGGCCTGTGAGCATGCTGCGCAGGAGCACATCGAAACAGAGCCTGGCTTCCACCCTCAATTCGATGGAAGCCAGCTCCGTCAGCGTACTCAGTTCTGCATCCACCGATGCGACCACCGTGTCCCGAGATTCATCAAACACTGACAGCGCATCCATCCGCGAATCGACCCCCATCCCTAGCGGCAAGGCCTTCAACAGCGGCAAGAACAACAAAGAGAATGCATTACACACTCAAATCGAAGACCTCCTCACCGCATTGACCGAACTGCAACGAAACCACGCATCACTCGCAAACGAATTACAAAAAGAACGGGAGCAGCGCGAGGACGACAAACAGGCCGTACGGTCGCTTCTGGAGGGTCTGCGCAAAAAGGCCAGCAACGACTCTGTCAGTACCAATGCGAGCATCGATACTCTCAAGGCGACCGATGACCCCGCAACTGAGGAACGTGAGGGAGGCCAGGGAGATGTGTCCGCTGCCAAGATCGGCGAGCAGGATGGCCCCTCGCCAGGGGACCTCTCGCAACTCCTCGATAATGTCGAGCAAAGATTCGGGCGCCACGGCAGCGGCAGCGTCGAACGCAGGATGTCCAGAGGCGAATCAAAATCGCAAATGCAACAGGAATTGCAGCAACTCAAGGACCAGCTCGCTAGCGCGGTATCACAATCGCAGGACTACAATCGGAAAATGCACGACCTAGCACAAGAAATTACTACCCTCAAAGATCAAGTGCGGGAATCCCACTCGCATACACGTATCTTGCACCAGGACAAACAGCGACTGGAAAAGCAAATCCACACCATGAGGGCGCGGGCATCTGCCGCAGGCGCGGAGAGTAATACTCAGCCCGATGGTGATTCGCCTGTGAGGAAGAGTTCCGCCAGTGGTGCGAGCGGCTTGAGAGAGTTGAAACTGGGTAGGAGCAAGTCAACCCCGTCTCAAGCTGGATCGATATTCGGCAAGCGATCATCATCAATGCCGAAGCCTCACGACTCGACGCCGCCACCGGCTACGCAGGTGCCGCCCCCTCTACCGGCTCCGCCACCGACAGATGATCAACACGAAGCTTTATTGTTGGAGCTTGTGCAGGCCAAGACTTCTGAAGCTATTGCTAGGCAAGAAGTCGAAGAGACGAAACAGAAGCTTGAGAGCCTCCGAAAGGCATATAGTCTCGTCACGGGAGAGACATCACAACCACAGCCTGCGGTAACGGCGGCAGGAACGGCGGCGTCAGCCGCCATGGGAGTCTTTGGTCGCCTTACGGGCGCAGCGGCAGAGCCCGCCAAATCTGCCACGCCGACGCCCGCCCCAGCAGCGGCTCCCGCGCCCGCGGCGGGGGGATTCTGGGGTTGGAGGAGATAATCAGGAAGCGTTCGACTTCTTTCACAACCACATCGGCGTTCCAAAACAACAAATTAGAGGAGCATTCGGATCATCTAGACTATTTTGCATTCTGGTTTGTGCGACGGGTACCAGACCCCTATGCTCGCTCGCCACACGTTGATAATTGCATTATCAATGAGAAGGCGAGACCGTGGCTTTCTGCATCTGTGGAAGTCAGCCTGCTCCACGCCTGGTGGAGCATTTTTCTTCTTCTTACTTCCGGAACGAAACCCATTGCATGGCATTGGCATTCTAGACTGTTTACTCATTTTTATTCTTTTATTCTTTCATTCATACCATTCATGGCATCGGAGTTGAGGAAAGGCACAGCCGGACCCCGACGGCGAGAGCGGACGGATTTCGTCTCCGCCCTTTATGAAACTAGGGATGTCCGTCGGCCCCATTTGTTTGTTTTTAACCCCCCTCCCCCTCCCCCTCATGAGCAGAGGGACTGGAGTTTGTCGAGGAGAGGGCTTTTGTCAATTACAGATAGTATCAGAATACCAGTGGGAAGAAAACAATTCACGAAGGATAATAATCAAACACCATGAGTTGACGAGACGTTGCAAAGTGAGACTGGCCAGATGTCCTCTTCGTGGTCCCTAGCCTTTGGGCGGGCGATTTAGCACCCGGAAGAGTAAGGTACTAAGCTAGCTACCCTTATCAGTAGTCTATTACTGTGGGCAAGCCCCCCATGTCCACAGGGACGAATAAGGCGCGAACCCCTTTTTCGCCGACCCGTTTTAGCAGCATCGTGGACCCCAATGTTGCATCTGCAGCAGTTTTGGGGTGCGCATGGCTTTCTCCCCATGTCCCCATGTGCCGGGGCCCTAAGTGTGGCGGTGCAATACTACGAAGCAGAATTGACTGACTTTCTCGTAGCGTCTCTGGTTATTGCATGTGAAAGCTGCGGCGCATACAGTGCCTGGGAGACTGGGATATTGCTGGTTTGGAGGGGATGTTGCTGTGGTAGTAAGTGGATTTCGGGAGGATACGCCGAAAAAAAGGCTCTTTTTTCCTGCTTTGCTTTTTTTTTATATCGTTGTCTATGAGACAGATGGGTCACTCACTATGCGGGAGGGTGGAATATGGACAGGACTCTTTTCTGTTTGGCGTTTGGCGTTTGACGTTTGACGTTTGCGTGGGCATTGGCCGAGACATTTTGGCATGGGTTTGGAAGATCTTTTCGTGGCTAGATGAAGCAGCCACAAACAACTACTACTCCTCACTAGATAATGAGGGCACACGCGGACGAAGAGAAACAGCTCTAGTGTCGCTTGTCGCTTGCCATGTTAAAACGTCGAGTGACAAAAAAACTTAGTCGTCTCCTCTGCAAACCTTTTTTGGTACCTATCGTCTAGCTACCGGTGCCGGCGTTTGGCACGTGTAGGAAGACGCTGAAGCACGTGCTCCCCCGAAGCCCGGGGCATCGGATCCGGTCCACGTCCGGGTGGTCGGACGGCGGGGAAGGGGGAGTGTCGACGGCCGGTGAGGCTAGAAACCTGAATATCGGGGAACACTTGATGGGACCCTGTGGCTTGCATACGTCTGTCTGACAAGTAGAGGAAGAGAAAGGTTCGTTTGATGGCTTTGGCTTCTTTTGCAACGGTGGACTGGCGCCCCTTGCCCGTTGTCCGTTGCCCAGACCCGTTGCCGGGTATAGTGAGCTGAGATAGCTATATGCTACAAAGCCTGGAAGTGATGTGCTGGCAGGTGGCTAGCTGTCAAAAATCATCGGGATACCCTGGGTCAGAAGGTTGAGCGTCTGAGCAAGGGGTAAGAAAGCTCTGTGAAGTCTTCAAGTTTGGGAGGACCAAGATCATATGTGATATTGTGAATTACGTGGTTACTTGGGGGAGTAGGCGGGCTAAAAAGTGTGGACGGGCTAGACGGCAGGGCTAGGGAATCGGCGGGAGTGTGTGTGGGTAGCTTGGGAAGCTAGGACCAAGCTCTCCGTAGTCTCGTGTGCTTATTACTTCTCGTTGACACTTTTTTTTTTGCGTGTTCCTCCAACCTCTTTGGGCAATGTATCACGAACATATCAGCGAAATGCCATCGTTTCAGGATTCCCAGGATTTTCATTGCCTTCCCGGTCGCTTCAGCCGCTGCGGTCACTGGGTGGGATAGTGGGCTGCGAATCTAGACCTCTGGGAGAGTCTGAAAGACAAGAAAAGGTTAGGCAGAGGAAGAGGGAAGAAGAGCGAGAGAGAGATGCAGGAGCACGTCACATGCTGGCTGCATAGCTAGCGCCCAACGAAGGACGCTACGCGGTGGGATGACGCCAAGGCGGAGGGGAGGGGATGGGGGGACTGACACGATACATCGTCATTGGGTCATTGGGGGTGGACGCGGCGAATGTTTGTATGGCGGCAAGGCCCCCAAGGGGTACTGGACCTCTTGGGAAACCACCCTTGGCAGGTAGTCAATGGGTACCGGGCGATTGGTTGCTGTGGCATAGCTTTTGCGTCATCAAGTTGGAAACAAGCTGGGACGAGTACTAGCCACACCCCGACCCCCGCCCCTCTCTCTCTCCGTCTGCACCTGCGTCTGCTGCCTGTGCTCGCCGTCTCTCCACCATGCAGTCATGGGTGCTGGAGCTGGAGCTGGTACCGGTATTCATTCGTACGTACTCCTGCTCTGCCGCAGCACGGTAGCTGTGAAGATGGTGCAGGACAGGCAGTTAGTTAAGTGTGAGTAAAGGGAGAGAAAGGTCCCTACGTGGGCCCTCTCCCGGCTAGCAGGTCCTGTTTGGGAGACAACGGCGTCACTGCTTCTTTCCAGACGGGACGGACTGATGGAGTTTCCGTTGCTCCCAAGTCCCGCTGGCTGGCCCGTCGCCCGTCGCCCGTCGCCCTGGGCCTGTCCTGGCCTGGCGTTGGCACGGACACTCTCAGTGGACTCTGCGGTGCTCCTTTCTTCTCGATCTTCATTTGCATCACTGTCACCCAGCAGCAGCAGCACCACCACCACCGGGCACACACACACAAAGTCCTTTTTTTTTTTTTTTTTTCTTCTCCCCCTTCCGTTTTTTCCCTGGCCTCCCACCTGCTGCCAGCTACTTTACCCACCCACACACTCACAAACACACACCCTCACCTCTCCGGTTTACACCTCTGCCTGAGCTTCCAGACCTACACATCATTACAACAAAACACCTGGCCTTCCTCACCTCTCTACCTACATACCTGCACACCTTTTCCTATCTTCAGATCTTCTCCCTACCCAAGCTTCTGCCACCTGCTTCTAACAAAGCTACTCTCTCCCATCCCACCCAAGCTTCGATTTATTGAATCGCACACCTGGTAGCTTTCGAGCAACTCAGCCATCACACGACACTTCCATCAGCACCTGCCCGACCGCAGTCTTTCGTCTCCTCAACAACAACACCACACATAAATCGCCATAACCTCGCAGCGATCACAGAAGATGTCTGACTTCCCGGACGCCCCGACCGCGGCTCCTTCTGCCAACGGTACTTCCTACATCCAGGCCACCAAGGAGAGTAAGGTACGTTATCGCTGCTCCTGAGATCCCGCGATTCCCGTACCAGATCTGCCTCCGTGGGAACCTCCGACTAACTTGTGCGAATAGTGTTTCAAGCTTTACTCCCCACCTCCAGCGAGGCCGATAAGCTAACAATTTCCTCCCAGACGCTGCCGCTGCCTACCAGCAGGTCGCTACCGGTACATCTTCCTTCCCCACGTCTCCCATGACGTCTTTGTGGCGCATCGTCAAATGCTGACCAGAATTCTCCCTTCCAGGCCCGGTCGCCCAGAGTGTTAAGGACCAGTCCGCAAAGACCTCAAATGAGTTTGGAAACCTCGCTGCCTCTCGCAAGACTCCCGCCAACCCCGCTGCTACCGGCCAACCCTTGACTCACTACCACTCCTTCTTCTTCGAGCTTATCTCGTGGAACAACCCTCGTACGTGATAGTTCCGGGTTCCTTCTATGGCCCCGATCCCGACTGACAATCACCCCGCAGGTGCCTCGGCCATTGCCTACTCCTCCATCGTCGCCCTCATCTTCGCTGCTCGCTATCTCGATGTCTTGCGATACAGCTTGAAGCTCACCTGGATGGTGCTTGGCACCACCGTCCTTGCCGAGGTCGCCGGCAAGCTCGTCCTAAACAACGGCCTTGCTACCCAGCTCCGCCCCAGACGCTACCACGTCATTCCTAGAGAGACGCTCGATGCCGCCATAGGAGACGTTCACGAGCTGATCAACTTCTTCGTGATTGAGGCTCAGCGCATTGTCTTTGCCGAGAACATTGGTGCTTCTGCTGCTGTAAGCTGCTCGCGTGACCTCTCCACAATTATTGACATCATTGAGGCTGACGCAATTTCTCGCCGTAGGCCTTCATCGGCTCCTTCATCGCCTATTACCTCGTCAAGATTGTTCCCTTCTGGGGCCTTTCTCTGATTACCACCACCGCGATCTTCATGGTCCCTCTCATCTACACCTCTAACCAGGAGCTCATTGACGCCCAGCTCCACCGCGCCGGTGAGGTGATCAACCAGCAGACCAACCAGTTCCGCACTGTCGCCAGCAAGCACACTGCCGAGGCCACCAACATCACCAAGCAGTACATGGGAGACTACACCGCTAAGGCCCAGCAGCTGCTTGGCCGTCGCTCTGCATCCCCCGAGGCTGTTTCCAAGCCCGCTCCTGCTCCTTCCGCTGACACCGCCATCCCCTCGGTGGAGGAGAAGGACTTCCCGTCCGCCCCCAAGGCTGACTTTGAGAGCACCACCACCGAGCCCGTCGTCCCGGCCGCCGACGAGAAGACCCCCATGGTTGCCTCCTAAATTTCTCGTTCGATTGGTTTTCTGAGTGTATACAGGCTGGCAATCATACGCGGGTTTCGCGTTATGCCACCGGCTTGACGACAACGGAACGACTCACGAAGAACACGAACGGGATTATGCACACCACTTTCTCTCTGCAACTTTATCGGCGTGGTAAGGTTCGCGAGTTGGTTCTCTGGAGTTCAGTTGCACATAGTAAGCAACGAAAAGGATAATATCAGGTGTCTCCAAGCGGAGGCAAGGGTCGTTGAACGGATTATCGTGTATGCATGTAGTGTATTGGCTTGTAGTTCTCTCTTCATGGCACACGGCTTTGGCGAACGGGGGATCATCAGATTGTCTAGGGGACGCAAAGAAACGAGTTACCTCTATCCTGGTCTATGGTTAGTGAGCGCGGCATACCCAATCGCAGTCGGCAGTAGTTCCTGAAATTGTTTGTACTGTACATGCTGGACGATTCCATGTGACGGCGGTCTATCAAGACTGCCTCATCGTTGGTGAGTATGTAGAAGATGAGACATGCATGGAAAGGAATATGTCGTCCTCGATTTCTTCAACGACAGTCACGAGCAATCACACTTAGATGGCTAGATGAGGCCGCCCGTTCGACCCGCAGTCCCTTACACCCTCCTTGCTTCCCATCTATCCCATTCTCAATGGTGTCCGTGTCCTTTACTTCGCTTTCCACTTCCGCTCCCCCCCATATTTCCTACTTGAAATAGTGCGTAAGAGAGATTAGAGAGGCCTGCCTGCCTGCTATTGTCGCAGCGTTTTACCTACCCATCAAGCATTGAATCAAAGGATATGTTTTTTTTAACGGTGTCTTGAAACAGGGTCACCATAAAGGCGAGATACAAATTGCAGCAGCACCGAGATCGACTCGAGAGACGGGTTCGACGGCGTACCTACATTACCCACTTGCCAAGCTGCGGCACGTCATATCGGGGGACATGCAAGTTTTTGTAATACGAGTCCGGATTCCATTCTTCTTACAGCGGAGCAAGCGGTATTGAGGTATACACCGGTACATGGGCACATACTATTACCGCCCGGGCCTGTCTGCGGCTTGAAAGAAAAGGAGCGAGAGGTGCTGTTCCCCCAGCTCTCTGCAAAAGAAAAATAACTGTGAGCAATAGAATAGCAAAGTAGAAAGGTAGCAGCAGGGAAGTCTGCCCTTTCGTAAAATCAGCCGCCGTTAACCACTCCCCCTCCCTTTTGCCGACCCTGATCCAGTATACACAACACATATACGCTCTCACGCGTCATTGAAAACCAATCCACTAATCACTATCATCCATGTCGAACGGATCCTCGCTCTCGTCGACGGCCATCTCGTCGCTGTCGTCGTCAATGACATAGGTAGGCTTCGCCTTCGCCTTTGTCGCAGCCGCACGCCCAGGTCTGCTTCGGGCAGCGGGACGGGGCGGGGACTCGGGGTCTTCCATCTCAACATCCTCATCCTCGTCGTCGCTCAGCACGCGCTTCGTCGCCTTCTTGGCGGCGTAGGCCTTGGCCGCGGGCGATAGGGTGGGCGGCTTGGGAGCCGCCTTCGCCTTGGGCTTAGCCTTGGGCGCCGGTGCTGCCTCTGCGTCCTTGGCCTTGTTTTTCGCTCCCGCTGGACGACCACGAGCCTTCTTGGCCGCAGCAGCAGCAGGGGCAGCCTTGGTCTCCTTTGCCTTGGAAGCCTTGGCAGCAGGAGCACCGTCGTCGCTCAAGAAACTGTCAATGTCGTCGCCCTTGGTGAAAGTCTTGTGGGGAGATGACCGAGCCAGCATCTCGTAGTTGGTGTCGTCAACGCTATCGTCGTCAAAGTTCCTCGAGGCCTTGGTTTTAATCTTGGGCAAGGTGGATTCGCGCCCAGCGTCAGGACGATTCATGGCGAACAGACTAAGTCGGCCCTTCTCAGTCTCCGCCTTGGGCGCGCCGATTCCGCGGACCAGAGAACCGATATCTCCAATGTGGTTGTCCTCTACCTCGGACTCCTCAGACTCGTCGTCGAGGACGTACTTGGACTTCTTGGTAGCAGCAGCCCGCTGACCCCTGCCGTTAGCAGTGGGCTTTGCGGGCTTCGGCTCAGGGGACGCGCTCTGCTCGGCAGCACTCTGGAAGGCGTCTTCGTCTTCGTCAGACAGATCGTCAATAACGTACTTCTTTGTCGAAGCGGCTCGTTTGCTCTTGGGTACAGGCTCGGCCGAGGCGGACTTTGATGCGGGCTTGTCGCTGGAGTTCTTCTTGCTGCCAAGGTTCTCAAAGTCGTCGTCGTCGTCGCTATCCAACTCTTCGACCTTTGGCGAAGGCTCCTTGGGTGCAGGCTTTTTGGTCGCTGCGGGCTTCTGACTCTGCGATGAGTTGTCCTCGACAGCCGAATCCGCTGGAGCAGAAGTGCTCTTGCCAAGACTGGCAAAATCTTCATCGTCGTCATCAGAGTCGCTCAGCTGGTAGATGGGCTTCTTCTTGGTTGCTGCTGCTCTCGGTCGAGCTGGTTCAGCCGCGGCAGAGGGCTTAGCCGCGTTCTTTCGACCACCAAGAGCAGCAAAGTCATTGTCCGAGAAGGCGTCCGACTCGGCATCCTCTTTCTTTGGCTTCGTCTTGGTCTTCTCGAACATGGCGACAAACCTCTCAGCGGCCTTCTCAGTGACCTTGGGGGCAGTCTTTGCTTTAGGCCCAGGACGCTTCTTCTCCCCGGGTGCGTAGTCATCATCCTCCTTCTTGGTCTTTCTACCCTTACCAGCGCCAATCTTCTTCGACACACGCCTACCCAGTCTCCGAATGTTGGTCTGAATTTCAGCGTCCATGGCCATTTGGGTATCCCACTCGGCCACGAAGTCGTCGAGATCTTGAGACCAGAGGTCCTTCTCACTAAGAGCAAGAAGTGCATCATGCTCGGCCTTCTTGTTTTCAATCTGCTTCTGAAGTCTTTCAAGGCGTTCGTAAGTCAGATTCCAGATGGGCATCTAAAAAATCCTTTGTTAGCGACAAGGTTTTGACAGCTTTGATCAGGGGACACCAACAGAAAGTAAGTAGTCGTAGCCGTTGGTCTGCTCGTCGTTCTCTTCTTCTTCACCGCCATCATTGCCCTCCATATCTTCGTCGGTGGACTTCTTCTTGACGTTTTTGTCTTTGTTTCTGGGGAAGGCCTCGTACTTGCGCTTGGCAAGCTCCTCGACAAGGACCTGCTTCTTCTTCTTCGCAACGACGAGCTTGCCGTCGATGATTTCCTTGATGAAACGGGCTTGTTCAGAAAGCTTTCTGAAGTCCGAGTGGTAGACACTCAGCCAATGCTTCTTGCGCTGGGCGTACATTTCCAGACGATAGTGATAAAACTCCTCGAGTATGTCCTCCACCTTTTCGTACTTGCGGATCTGGCCATTGGTGTCAAAGGCGACCAGGTTTGAGGTTGCAACCTGCTTGGTGAGCTTGAAACGCTCCATGAGACCGTCCTTTAGAACGTCGTTGGTATGCTTGTCATCCATTTGAATAACAAAATGAACGTTCTTGTGGTCGTTGAATTCCTTGTAGTCCTTGATCCAAACGGGGCCTTTAGTACCACTGATGACTTCTTCGAGCTTGGCCTTGAAATCCTCTGTCCACATACGGATAGGGAGCTCAGTGATGATGACTTCACCAGTCTTCTCATCAAGCTCGCAGATACCATTGAACTTGTAGCGGTCTTTCTCGGATTGCTCAGGGGTGCCCTTCCAGCCACGGAACCACGGCATCATAGCCTGGAACACGCCATCCTCGCTATTCTCAGGATCTAGGCGACCCATGCGTCTTCTCAAGTTGTTGACAATATCAATCGGGTGGTAGTTGGGAATGGAAGTACTCCAACCAGTACCGATACCGTCGGCACCGTTGCAGAGGATCATGGGAATGATTGGCGCGTAGACTTTGGGCTCAATCCTCTTTCCATCTTCATACTGGGGCTCCAAGTTGGGCTCGTCGAGGGCAGAAAAAATCTTCCTGGCAAATGGTGACAGTCTCGTGTGAATGTAACGCGGGCTGGCAGCATCCGAACCACCGGCAAGTCGAGAACCAAAGTTTCCGGAGGGCTCCAGACAGTTGATGTTGTTTGAACCCACAAAGGTCTGCGCTAGACCAATGATGGTCTGCTGAAGAGACACTTCACCGTGGTGGTAGGACGTCTGCTCAGAGATGTAACCGGCCAATTCAACGACCTTCTGGTCCTTGACCAAGTTCCTCTTGAAACAGGCAAACATGACTTTGCGTTGACCAGGCTTCAATCCATCAAGGACCGAGGGAATAGATCGCATGTTATCAGCCATGGAGAAGAGGATGAGTTCCTTGTTGACGAAATCGCTGTACGTGATGGTCTTGGTTGACTGGTCCAAGAAAGTACCGGGAACAAAGTTACCGAGCCACTCTTTTCTGGCGTCCGCCTTCTTCTTGGAGAAGGCAAGGTCAAATAGGTCAACCTCCTCCGTTTTCATCGTTTCAAACTCCTTCAGATGGTCATCAAGGTTGGTGAAGTACACCTGGGCGTCTTCGTTTGAACTGGTACCCAGACCCTTGAAGTACTTGTAGGACCACCGAGAGAGGTCATTCCTGTTGCTCTCCTTCCACTCCTCATATTGAGGTTGGGTGAAGAATGACTTGAGACGTAGTGGCTTCTTCGGGTTGGGTCCTTGCCAGACCTTGACGATTGGGGTAATGAACTCCCGGAAAAAGTCAGGAATCTGCAGCAAGGACGGGTACTGAACTTGCAAGAAGTTGATGAGAAGACCCTTGATATGAGAACCGTCGTGATCCTGATCGGCCATGATCATCAAGTGACCGTATCGCAGACTCTTGGTGTCAGTGTAAGTCTGCTTGTGCTTGAGACCGAGGAACTGCTTGATGTTCTGAATTTCCGCGTTCTTCGTAATCTGGTCGATCGATGCATCTCGTACGTTCAGCATCTTACCACGAAGGGGAAAGACTCCGATGCGGTCAGGGTCCAGAATCGCACGACCGGCAACAGCCAAACTCTTGGCAGAGTCACCTTCCGTGAGAATGAGCGTACACTCATGGCCATGGCGAGTGCCAGCCAAGTTGGCATCAACTAGTTTCGCGTTGCTGATGCGGGATCGCTTGTTACCATCGCTCTTGGCCATCATCTTGTCTGCCTTCTTTTCGGCGAAGTCGATGATGTTCTGGATGGCGTCTGATTTGGCGATCTTCTTTAGGAATTCCTCAGTGAGCGAACACCTGCTACCAAACTGGCTGACCTTGGTGGTCATCTGCTCCTTTGTTTGGGAAGTGAAAGCTGGGTTGTTAACAAGACAGTTGACGAAGATGAAAATGTGATTGCGAATGTGGTTCTGCTTGAGCGCGTGGCCCTTCTTCTTCTTGTCGAGGGTTTTTAGCAACGAACCAGTGATTTGATCGGCAACGTAGTTGACGTGTGTACCGCCTGATGTGGTGGCAATGGAGTTGACGAACGAGACTTGCTGGAAAGAGCCGTCTGACACGGTGAAAGCAATCTCCCATCTAGGGTGGGCATCGGTCTTGTCGACCTCGACAACAACCTTGGGCTCGACGCCTTCCTCTGCACCACGTTCCTTGGAAATCGCCTTGGCGTACATCTCACAGTAGCCCTTGAAGGCGAGCTTGATGTGGGTGCCGTTCAAGAACACTTTGATGCCGCGAACGGTACCAGCCATGTCGTAGACGCGGCGGTTGATGAGAGCCTCAAGATCATCGTCAATACCGGTCATGCTAAACCGCTTGAAGTCAGGCTTGAACGTAACCCGGACAAAGTCGCTAGTCTTGCTGCTGGAAATCTTCGCTTTGCCGCATTTGCTCATGTTGTCGGTCCAGACCTGCTTGTATCTCTTTCCGCTGTTGGAGTCTTGGCACTCAAGAGTGAACTGCTCACTGAAGACGTTACAAAGCTTGGCACCGTAACCGTTGCGACCACCGACCGTCTTCTTCTCGTCGTCGTCGTAGTTGGAACCAGTCAGGAGGTGACCGAAGATCATCTCGGGGATATAGATCTTTTCCTTGCCGTGGATCTCGACCGGAATACCTTTACCGTTGTTCTCCACAGTGATCTCGCCAGCTTCGCGGTCCACAGTAATCTTCATGGTGGTCATGGTAGCATCGCGCTGCTTGTTGTCGGCGGCGTTGACAAGAATTTCGTCAAAAATCTTGTACAGACCCGGGACGAATGTGACTTTACGGTACTCCATGAGCTTCGTCTCCTTGTTGAAAACCCACATGGGCTGTTCGGTGGGTTCAACGGATCCAATGTAGGTATCGGGACGCTTGATGATATGCTCCAGCTGGGTGAGCTTCTGGTAGGTATCCGTGGCATTTTTCTTGGTCTTTGGCGCGGCAGGCTCCTCCTCGTCGATCATCATGCTGTCGTTTTCAATTTCTGAGAGGGGTTTTCCACTGGACTTCTTCGCAGCGGGAGCTTTCTTAAGCTTCTTGGCGCTAGGGGGGGTGTTGGAGAAAGTTGAGGCGCCATCTTCTTCGTCGCTTTCGGGTTTCGCGCGCTTCTTGGGTGCGGCCTTGGTCTTCAGTGTAGTTTGGGTCAACTTCTTCGCTGGTGCCTTTTTGACGGCGGCTGCCTTCGCCTTGGGCTTCTGTGACGGATCAGTACTGGGTCGCGAAACGATCCGAGGGGCAGTCTTGGGCGCGAAAGAGCTCTGTTTGAACTGGTTGGGGCGCTGCAGAATGGGCATCTTGCCGGGTGTTCGGGAGGAAGCAAGGTACAGGAAGGTCTGACTTCTGCTTGGTATTTGGAATGTGAAGGAAGGGCTCGCGCAAGTATACGGGTGGAAGTCGTGAGGAATCTTTTCGCGGCCGTGGTTTGGTTTGCGACAAATGAAAGTTCGTCAAGATGGAAGGTGATCAGAGCAGTTGCGGCGCACCACTAGATCTGGGTATAGCCCACAATGAGAGAGCAGGCGCGACGGCGGCTCTTTCCCCGGGTTGCGACGAGAGGCGAGAGTGAAGTGAAGGGGTCCCACCAGAGACAGGAATCTCATCTGCAGACTTAAAAAAAAAAAGAAGCAAACATACCATAGGTGCAAAGTCAGACTCCTCTCCCATGCTAAACACCGACGCTTCATCGGATGACATTTTGTACAATATGCGCTCCCCGAGGCGCGGGGAGGAACACGAGAAATTTCGGAACGCGGTAGTGGTCGGTACACTTGGTGATTGTAGAAGCGGTCGAAGAATCGCTCGGCGACACAAGGACGAGGGTGCAAGAAGATTTGTTCCAAAACGGCTAGCTGGGCGGACCAGGCGCGCAATTGACACGAAGGACGGCGAGAAAAAGGAGATGGAAGAGGGGAGCGAGTGTGCCAGCTCGAGCAGGGTCTTTTTACATCGAAAAGAGGGTATGGTGAAGAGTTGTGTTGCGACTTTGTCGTGTAGCTGGACCGGTTTGGCGGGACTGGATTGGGCGAAGGACGATTTCTTGTTGTTGGTAGCAACCCCTTTGGGATGTTGATGTTTGGCCCCTGGCGCGAGTAAACAAATTGGGGACCTGATGAAATGGAGTCGCGACACAGTCCTGGCTCCTTCTGACTGGACAGCGTCGGGGCCTTTCCCTTTGTTTTCTGCCTCAGGCCCAAATGCCTCCCACGGTGTGGCGCCAGAGTCCCGGCGCGAGCGGGGGAACAGGACCCAGATAAGATACCTCCGGCATCTGCCACCTGCACGCTCTGCCCCGCCGTCTAATTGAGGCGTCGCAGAGCGGTGGCACTACCTACCTTGGGTAGGTACCTTGGAATTCCACCACAGACCAGACGGGCGGGAGGAACCAGACCCACAACCTTAAGCCCAAGACACCAGCGAACACGCATGGTCAATCTCTCCAGCCGGTTATTCTCGTCGGGTTGCTAAAGGTTGACGACAAACGCGCAGATACGCGCGAATGATATTTATCGTACAAGTTAATAAATTTCCATATCATTCAGTTGCGGTTACACGCAAAATTCATCCCATGGCCGCTCGATCATCCTTTACGTTCCCATGCCCATCTCCAGTCAGTGACATAACACTGCCAACACTGCAAAAACGCCTCTCCTTGCGCCCTCTCGTCCCTCAAACCCATCGTCACTAGAACCCTCAAACAACGCGCCTCGTCTTTCCTGTCTCAACCTCGTAGACCCAGCCGCTAAGCGTAACACTATCCGGCACCAACTTGGACGCCTTGATAAAATCAATGTCCTTCTTGACAGCCGCATCCAGCTCCGTGAAGGGGAGGAAGTCGGGAATGCGGCTCGCCGCCTCGGAGGAAGCCTCGGCGCTGACAAACAGGTTAAAACATGAAAGACTAGATTATGATGCCCGTATAAAGTATAGTACTCACCCGAGGTTCTTCTCAACAAGGCCAAACGCGTCCTCGTTCTTGAACGTCAGCATGCCGCAGCCGGTGTGCTTGACGAGGACGATCTCTTGAGTGCCAAGGAGCTGTTGTGAGATGACTATGCTGCGAATTGCATCCACGGCTGAAGCGCCGGCCTGTATCGTCACGATGAGCAAAAAAGGCGTCGACTCGATGAAAAGACTTTCTGGGAATCTTACGTTACGAATGACGTGCGCGTCGCCCAACTCGATACCAAAAGCTCGCGCCGGATCGATTCTGGCATCCATGCACGTAAGAACGAGATACTTCTTTGCTGGCGGGAGGGCCAAATGCCCCTTGTCGAAACTCGACGAATACGTTTCCGAGGCGACCTCGACGTTCTTTTGGATTGCGGACATGGTGGGCAAGATGATGTGTTTCTTTGTATAATGTGTTTCTCTGTGGACTTATTGCGGGTTACGATATGAGACGTGGAAGATTTGTCTTGCTTCTCCTAGACTGTGGTATAATAACTGGTACACAAGAACTGTCTCGGGATTGTCAGAGGAGGGATATCCCTAGCTTTACATATCCCTCTCGTCCCCCAAGCCCGACTTATCATCCTGTAAGTGCTGCGCACGAGATACCGCGGAAATCCTGTGGTATCTGATTGTGGGTATATGGCGTGATTCGGCCTTTGTGCACACCAAGTGGTTCAACCAACGAGCTTCACCGTCTTCGTATCCCAAGAGCAATAGTTCGGTCCCGGCTGGGAAAGGTGAGAAGGTACCGCCCGACTACCCCGATTTCAAGGTGGGGTTGATCGTGGCACCGATCGGCGTTATTGGTAAGCTGTCGCTCCGTCACCAATCTGTGTGCCAAGTATCGGCCACGCACTCGCGGCACTCTGCCTCCACGACGCTCTTGATGTGCCGTCGTCCAAATTGAAGTGGACCCCGCTCAAAGTCAGCGCCGGTGTTGCATCAACCCGAAGAGCCGTCACCGAGCCGCTCCGACTGGCCCACAACCTTCAATTGCACATCGGGTCACCTTGAAACTACGGTGTCGGGATCTCGAGAGGTCGGTCATGTATGCCATCAAAACCAGACTCTCACTCGATTCTCAAATCCCGTCCTCGCCCGCACGGGGTCAACACACGACGTGGGCGGCCTCGTCTTTGTCATCACTATCTAGAACAGGCCATCCTCAACGCTGTGGAATTGGGGGGGTAGCCGGCTACGTCGAGAGCTGCTTATAAAAGAAAATCTGATCCTTGAGCTGTCGTGGAACGGCGGGGCTAATGCCGTAATTGGGGATTCTGCCAACTTCGACGTATCCGAATTTTCGGCAGACGTCCTCTGCTGGGCTACCGACCTCGGTGTCGAGCATCTGGGCATCTCGTCAGCGGTAGCTTCAAGCTCGGATTATTGCTCTGATTTCTTACCAGTAGCGTTCGTCTCATTCGAATGGCCTCACCTTCCAGAGCACTCATTAAGATCCTGGCGCCACCACGCCGACGGAACTTGGGGCTGATGAGAAGCTTCTCGACAAAACCGCGGAACGGGCCCGTCTCAGAGTAGGGCATGGAAAGCATGACCACGCCCATGAGCTCGGTTCCCTTGAACTTGGTGCCCGGATCGGACTCGTCGAGGAGGATCAACATCATGCGGGTGCCTGCAGTCACCTCTGCTATGCGATCCTTCCACCAGCCCAGCAGCTTCTCGTGTGACAGAGGGGGCAGGAAAGTCGCGAGAGTCCGATCCGAGCTGATACAGCCAGCATGAAGTGCGGCCAGGTAGGGAATCAAGTGGGTGTGATCCGCCGGTGAGAAGATGTACGGCGTCCCCGAGTTTGAGGACATCTTGAAGGGGGTCCTCCTTGCCTTATGCGTGCGCAGAAAGTGTGCCCCTCTGCCGTCTCGATGAAGTATTGTCTACAAGTATACGGCAGAGACTGTACCCTGGCTGGATGGCTTAAAGATTGCGCAGCTCGGCCGGGCCAGGACGATGTGAGAGCTAGTAGAGATCGACAATGCAGGAACGGCGAAATTTATCCTCTGACCCTGACGTGCTAGTGGGAGCTAAGTGGTGATTAGATGCACGCAGTTCTCTAGACCTGTCATGAAGTATCCCCAAGTCAGTAAAGAGAATATTGGCCTTCCTTGAGTTGGCGCAGCGAGGTCGTGTGGATAAGTTGACGCTGAGTGAGGGGAAATTTGGCAAAAGCTCACCTCAGCTTCAAGAGACTAGACACAAGACGGGGGTGTGAGAGGCTCAGTTGCGTGCGGGATATGTCCGTATGAGTCAATGACTTCAATTGATGTGATCAAGACTCGCAAAAGTGTCGGGAGAGGCGAGTGGAGATGTGGGCTCCCGAGATCTGGACGTTGAAAATATGAGCTCCACGGGGAGGAATTATGACAGACGAGAGTGAATTCGGGCAGGGGAGGTTCTTTTTTCGATCCAATAATTAATTAGTAGCTCTGTGCCAGTTGGGGCCAGTGTCTGTCTCACAGGTGGGATTGTTGGCCCAAGCCCACAGGCTGAGGTGGCCGCTACGAGGGAATTCCCGGCGCAAGGGGCAGCAGACAAACCGCACCCCCGCGTAGAAGGATGCGACGGATTGTGACAGTGCAGCCAAGCACCTGTGGCACCTCCCTTATATTGCAGCGACATGTCCACTTCAGGAAGCTCGCTGATGGTCTGCCCTACATGCCTGGATGGCCATTGGCAGCCGCAACGGCCCCAGGTTCAATACCTATGTCTCATTCATCAACTTCTTACATATCCAGCTCGTTTCTCCACCAGACTCGGCTGTCCGATGCATTTTGTCCCAGGAGACGCACAGCACGTGGCTCAGCTGCAGTCCAACCCCTGGATGATCTGTCTTGGAAGTGGGCCAGACAAGGTTAAAGGCTGATGCTGAAGATAACGCAGGCCAAGTACGGACGCCGAACTAGACCCGGTCTCTTGACTCCCTTCCACCTCGCTCGACAAAAGCCTTACCACCAAGCGAAAGAGGGAACCAGAAGTGACCGAGCTACCGCCTTCCAGTAGAATATATTTGACTTTGTACTTCTAACGACGAAATATGTGTTAGTATTCAAAGAGAAAAAGAATTGTGTCTAATGAGGCGATTCGTAAAGCGCTCCCAGACACCTCTTCGGCTGAAGAGGCCAAGCAAAAGTCTCCTAATTGGGTCAAAGATGCACAACGTTTCCCAGAATGACAAAGTAGTCGAGGTCCTCGGCTCCTGTAACTCCAAAAGACGCGAGTCCAGGTAAGATCTTCTCGAATACTCGATTGCCTCTGTTGCTCTTTGCAGCTCCCCCATCTCCGCGGTCAGTCTTTCCATCTCGGCCTTCCATTCTTGTCCCACGGCCTCTACCTTCACCTTCACCTTCTTCAATTGCGCAATCTTGATTACGCCGGCCTTCTCCTTGCCCTTTTCTTCCAAGTCACCGTTGAACTTCTTTATCACCTCATCCATCCGACGCTTTGCCGTATCCGGCTCTGACCGAGACTGCTTCTCCAGGCTTCGAAGTCTGTCGCGCAAAGACTTCTTCTCCCGTTCCATTCGGATAACCTGACCTGCGTATACCCGCTCTTGGTGTCATTATACCTCTCGGTTCTCAACTAGTAGTGCTTCCTGTTAATTCATGAGGTCCCTCACCAATGCTTTCTTCTCTTCTTTGTTCTTCTCAAAAGCCATCTGAAGAGCCTCATTCTGCGCGAAACGGGCCTTTACCTGTTTCTCGTGCCAACCTCTGATTTCCTCCTCAGATTTTACACGTTAGTCTGCTAGTTCATGGTTGAGCGCCATACCAGCCGTCGTTTCCACGACATCGAGACCTTGGTCCACCAACAGGGGGCAAAGCAGAACCCTCCCTGAGCAGGTCGACGGCGGATTGCTGTGTGTTGTCGGAGCGCCGAATCTGCGAGCCCTTACTCTTCATCTCGCCCCACCAATCAGGCTTGCTGAGAAGCTGAGAAGCTCCCGCTTCCTCTGCTTTCCTATGCCGACGTCTTTCAGCTCACGCACCAGTCGCAACGTCGGCGATATGACGTAGCCGCTTCCCTTGGGCGCTGAGAGGCACTTGGCAATAAGCTTGAGCTCATCCCAAAAGGTCGTGACCATAAGAACGTTCCCAAAAATGCTGTCTCCGAGCAGATAGCAAAAGACATCAAAGTTTCTCTGAATTCCATTACTGGCTCGCTCGTCCTTGATGCGATGAAGATATTTGATCCTGCTGAGGTCGAGCTTGTTCTTGTAAGAGGTGCTCAGGGTCTCTGCAGAACATCACCATCGCCTCAGTGAGTTTCGTCAAAGCCTGTTGTGTCGAGGAATACGAATCGATGTTCTCTAAAGTTTACTTCGAACATTTCGGTCCTCTAAGTACCTGAAGAAAGCAAGGTTGGAAGCATATGAATGGGTATAACAAATGATTTGGCTTAAAAGATTAAGACATTTTCCAACGACTGGACCTGCATCCTTAAGTCCGGCTGCATCTGTAAGATGCTTTAAGAAGTTCCTTCTCCCTGCACCGGTAACGCCCATGATAGCGATGAGCAAGATGTCATCCGGCGCGGCATCGTTCTTTTGATCGGCTGGGGCCATGTTCGGAAAAAATTAGCAACATAAGTAGTTCCAAAGACTAATCCACTGAAAGACAGGGGTGAGGTCGGTCAGATCTCGTTTCTTTCGAGTACACTGAAGTCAACAGATGTGTTGACAAAAGCGAGTCTTGGAGGAACAGGCCGGTCAAGTTTATCTTCAAACCACATACAAACAGCCGCTATCATGCCTCACGACTCCTTCGACTTTCAAGGGCTTATATACACCAGACATTCCAAATAATGATAACTTTCACATGGTCTCGCCGGTGCCGGCTGAAGCGACACTTCAAGTCCAGCTGGGCTGAATCTCAGACATTCATGCGTAGGTGCCAGGCAGCGGCGCTTCAAGCGTGAGCCGAAAACTGTTCCACGCCACAGATTATATCGTAGAGGCATTGGCCCACATCGATGACACCTGAGTCTCCATGCAGCTGAATACTTGAGACCTACAGTGCCACTGTGAATCATACCAATACTTAGACAAGATCAGCCTCGACTACTCACGAGTCACAAGTCTATGGCGACGAGAATACGACCAGAGCGCGAAGTGATCTTCGAAAGATAGAACGCCTTACACCTTGTCACTCATGGTTCAACGACGCAGACTTCAGGGATATATAACCCTGGACGAAGTTTCCTGGCGCCGCCTCCCACGGTTCGAAACACTGCGAAAAGGCCCCTTCTCGGATTGCTTACCACACCGAGAACACTGGTGACCTTGACCATGACGTCTGGGGCTATCAGACTGAGTCAGGCTTGAAGAGCTCCTCTTGTACAACGGTGATGACACTTACCTGAAGCGCAGTATAGGTGATACATTGATACAACTTCCTGCTGGAAAGACTGCCAAGGACATCGTGACAGATTACCTCGGTGGCATGTATGCAATATTTCAAGCCGCGATTGAGGAGAAGATGAGATGGGGAAGTCTTCTGCGAGACTTTCCGATGGATGTTTGGCTCATAGTTCCAACAACGTGGTCTGAGACAGCGAAGATTCTTACATAGGCTGCGGCTAAGGAGGCAGGTTTTGCGTCAAGGCCCATCGATAAGAGCATACTTATACCTGAGCCAGAAGCGGCGGCACATGTGGCTCTAAGAATCAGCGTGAATCATGTGCATTATCTCGTCGAGATAAGAAACAAACACATTTGCTATTACGGCTTGTTAGCAGCATGCAGGAGGGAAGTGGTGTGATGGTTTGCGATGTCGGCGGATGTACACTGGTAGGTTGGTTGCTTGCCCTGTCAGCTCGATTTACTAAAGACGGAAGGAAACTATGATGTACAAAATTAAGAGGGTATTATCTACTCTCAGACTCAAGGGACTTTGGGTCGGCAATGGAGGCAAGTGCAGTGGGACATTCGTCGACCGCAACCTCTACGAGTTTCTTGCCAAACGATTCGGAACAGCATTCGCCTCTCTTCCCTTTACTCAGACTGGCACTGGAGTGGAATCTGCGGATCAAATCGAAGACAGGAAGAGGGACTTTATCGTTCAGCGTGTCAGCAAGAGGCCGATGAAACTTGGCCTCCGGATGGAGGGCCTGGGAGCAATGTCGAAATTGGCGGATTACTACGAGGCTCAGTCTAAGGTTCTCTTGGCCAGGCAAGACAAGGCAAACTCTTTTTGATCCAGTGGTGGAGAAGATTTTGCAGCGTGTGACTGATCAGGAAAGTTGGACATGGAATGAGGCTGAGAATACCATCAGCACGATGGTTTGGTTGGAGGCTTTGGGTCATCCCCATATGTCAAAGACAAATTGAAGAAATGGTGCGGGAATCGGCACATCCGACTAACAACTCCTGTGAACGGAGCATAATGCTTCAAGAAAATCAAATGAAACTTCTCATGATACTGACTTTATATTCTCAGATGGTCGGCTATTGCATGTGGCACATTCTTGAGAGGCGTGGGAGGATCAATCATCACTGAAAAGAGGTGCAGGCGCCACCATGGATGGGCACATGCTGACCGAAAATATTGTCCGAAAGAGCATCAGGGATACGATGTGAGAAATTTGGACCGACCCATTCAACCAAGTGACTTCCTCGACAGGATTTCCGCGGTGGAAAATTGGTCAGGTAAGTGCATGTCGCAAGTCAAATATTGGAAACAATATTCACAAGATTCAGAATGACATACTCCAAAACACGCCCGAGATCAACAGCCGTTTTCCCTGACAAATAATCGGCCGCTCAGAACGAACGACATGCTTCCACGACTTATATGCTTGTAGCTTGAACTAAGCACATGAGACAATAGAGAACGATCGTGGGTGTTCTTGATAGGATCACGCTTCTGTAAAGGTAACATCGCTGATGCAAGTGCAGGAGTTGAGAAAATCGGACAAGTGGAGTACACGAGTGACGATCTTTGTATGGAAAGTGACGGTGGAGTTAAAATATATTGTGGAGAAGGGGCAGGAGAAGTACGAGGTTTTCATGCACTGAAAATCAAGATGAGCGACGAAACTGGCCTTCTGGTCTTCAAGATCATGGCCGGAGAGAAAGAGATCAAACAGGCGAAATTCACCTTTGCCAGAACATGAAAGTCCAGAGGGGCGGATGAGCCAAGCACTCTGGCATGTCAATAGCGCGAAAACTTACTCTGATGTATAGTAGACACAATGGCCCGATTTCGATCTTCAGAGTCTTTGAGCGACAATATATAAATGAAGTGCAACCCGTATAGGTCTAGCTGTCCAATGTCTCTGTGTTAATTGATTGAATCACCCGTTCATAGGGCACACCAAAACTGAGTGAGTCTCAAAATGAAAGAGCGTAGATAACTCATACCTAGGCCATTCGAACCCAAAATATCAAGTGAGGTAGGATAGTTAATTAATGCCTGTCCTGGGACTCCCGTCCTGTTTATGGATGCAGGGAATGCAAGCCGGCCACCCACTCACGGATGCTCGGGGCACACGGACCATCCGCTGGTGTCGTCTCACCTTCAGCTCCCTTCACCGCATCTACCTGAAGTGTATGGTGCCCGCTTGCTTGCTGGGGAAAACGTAACGTACCGACCGCCCCTCGATTTGTGCCCGGGATACGGATATGGCACTTCGTTCTCAGCTTGCAGTTGGCTACCTCCCCTCGCACTATGCACTTGCCCCTCTGACGTCGCTCTCTGGACCCTGTTTCATCGCCGCCTTTACCTAACACCAACTCCGAGAGTTCCCCTCCTCGTCCAAAGCTTCCTTCAACGACACTCACGTAGTCGAGAACTCTTACAACTCCCACTTTCTCTGTGACACCCATTTTCATTTCCAACCCTCCGTTCTTACCCTCCCATTTCGGCCTCATACGAGCTCAACAGCAGCTCCCCGCCGCCATGGATCACATCTTCCGCAAGGTGGAGCGGGGCATCGAAGCCCTTTTTGGGGATGAGCGACACGCCCACACTCACTCGGGCCACGAGTGCCACGAGCACCATCCCGCCGCTCACGCCGAGAACCGATTCCAATCTTTTTCTCCTCAGAATACCGGCAATGCCAAGTGGTATGTCGACGGATGCTCCTACTTCTGGGCTGTTTCGGAAGCTATCGAACGTGAGTAAACACCACCTCAGTTAATCGTTATCTTGTCCCTGACTGTGTGAGCTTCAGAGGCCCACGAGAGCATTTACATTTTGGATTGGTGGCTGAGCCCGGAGCTGTATCTACGCCGTCCTCCCTCTAAGAATGAGCGTTATCGCATCGACAACCTGCTCAAGGCTGCTGCCGAGAGAGGTGTCAAGGTTAACATCATCGTCTACAAGGAGGTCGAAGCCGCCTTGACCCGTGAGTGATCCCGACTCTCAACAGTCATCGGAACGCCAGACTAACAAGTCATGACAACTAGTGAAGTCCTCAGTAAGTCAACACCGATTACATCGATAATGCACGCCAATAAACTCAAGTCATGCTGACATTCTCATCAAGCACACAAGGACATACCTGGAAAGCCTTCATCCCAACATTGGCGTGTTTCGACACCCTGACCATGTGCCCACCGGATACGACTTCCAGGCTGAGCTCAAGCAGAACTTCGCCAACATGAATGCCAATACCTTCACCCTGTCCAAAGCTTCCGGCGATGCCATCAAGGCCATCTACGGTACGGCGACCGATGGAGTCACCCTGTTCTGGGCCCATCACGAGAAGCTCTGTCTGATCGATGGTAAAATTGCCTTCATGGGAGGTCTCGATATGTGTAAGTAAAACTGCCAAGCATGTTGGCCATTCACTAATAGTATGACAGGCTTTGGCAGATGGGACACCAACAGTAAGCCGAGACTACCTCTAATCCCCTAATAGGAGACGTTCCTAACAGAAACAGGTCATCCGATTGCGGATGCCCACCCCGGCAACCTGGACGCCGTCATCTTTCCCGGTCAAGACTACAACAACGCCCGCGTCTACGACTTTGCTGACGTCGACAATTGGGAGCAAAACAAGCGTAAGCCAAGCCTGGAACATCACCTACTTCACTGTGCTAACATTGAAGCAGTCGACCGTACCAAGAGCTCCCGAATGGGCTGGTCCGATGTCAGTCTCAGCTTAAGCGGTCCTATTGTGGCAAACTTGGCAGACCACTTCGTTGACAGATGGTCCGTATAAGAGAGCTATCGATTCCAATGGAGGTAGAGTCAGCCACTAACTATGAGTAGGAACTTCATATATGGCGAGAAATATGGCAAGAAAAACCCTGGAAAGTACCAGACTCTTGGAGGAGCCGCCGCCAACGCCGACGCTGGGAGAATCGCCGAGAACGAGACGGAAAGTGGTGGTTTCTTCGGCGGTGGTGGCCACACCAGTCACCTCTTTGGCAACATTTCTGACCGTATCAACCGAGGGATCAGTCGCATGGCAATCAGTGACGACAACCAGGACGACGGTCCTCGTAGAGTCGACCGCGGTGACCGTGCTGCCAACATCCAGCTCACACGAAGGTAATACAGAGAGTCTCTTCCTATCGAAACAAAGTACTAACGGACCACACGCAGCTGTACGCAGTGGTCTGCTGGCCACCCAACCGAGCACTCGATTGCGAATGCCTACATGCATGCCATCACCAATGCTCAGCACTACGTCTATATGGAGAACCAGGTAAACCGCCCCCTTTCTTTTACCTCCATCCACAAATCACTCTAATACAAAAGTAAGTTCTTCATCACGGCCACCAGCAAGGAACAGCACCCCGTCACCAACAAGATCGGCCGCGCCATCGTCGACCGCATCATTCGCGCCCACCAAAACGGCGAAAACTTCAAGGTCGTCGTCGCCATGCCCGCCGTCCCCGCCTTCGCCGGCGACCTCAAGGCCGACGACGCCCTCGGCACTCGCGCCATCATGGAGTTCCAATACAACTCCATCTCCCGCGGCGGGTACTCCATCATCGAGACCCTCCGCTCCGAGGGCGGCATCGACGACCCCGGCCGGTACATTCGCTTCTACAACCTCCGCAACTACGACCGCATCAACACCTCGTCCACCATGGCCGACGCTGAAGAACGCTCCGGCGTGCGCTACGAGGACGCCCGCCGCGAGCACGACGACGACGTCGGGGCCGGCTACGGCGACCGCGGCCAGGGCTACGGCACGCGCGGCGACTCCCAGTACGAGCGCTACCAGGAGGCCGCCTCCCGCGTCTCGGACCAGACCTGGGACACGGTGTCTGCGTGCTACATGGACAGCGGCCGCGACCTGCACTCCGTCCCGTGGCAGGGTGAGCCCGAGGCTGAGCTCGACGCCTTTGTCAGCGAGGAGCTCTACATCCACTCCAAGCTCCTCATCGCCGACGACAGCCTCGTCATCTGCGGCTCCGCCAACCTCAATGACCGCTCCCAGCTCGGCACCCACGACTCAGAGATTGCCGTCGTCATCGAGGACCCCACCCCGATCGAGTCCGAGATGGCCGGGCGGCCCTACACGGCCTCCAAGTTCGCCACCTCTCTCCGCCGCCAAATCTTCCGCAAGCACCTCGGCCTCCTCCCCGACCAGCCCTGCGACCGCCCCAACGACAACTGGACCTCGATCGAGCGCGGCCCCAACGCCTACGACTGGGATTCCCCCGCCGACCGCCTCGTCCGCGACCCCATGTCCCGCCAGTTCTGGGAGCTCTGGGAGAGTACCGCCCGCACAAACACCGAGGTCTTTTCCAAGGTCTTCCACAACGTGCCCAACGACCACGTCCGCACCTGGAAGGACTATGACGACTTCTTTTCAAAGTACTTCATCATCCCCGGCGCCAAGAAAGAGGACAACAAGGCCGAGGACGCCGACCGCGGCAAGGTCGAGTACGGCCACGTCGTCCGCGAGGAGTTCCCCGGTGGCGTGCGCGAGCTCAAGGACTGGCTCAACCGTGTGCGGGGAAACATTGTCGAGATGCCCCTCGACTTCCTCGTCGACGTGGACGACATCGCCAAGGAGGGACTGTCTCTAAACAGCTTCACCGATGAGATTTACACGTAAAAGAGAGGACTGTAACGACCGTTCCATTCTGCACGTACACAAATGTAGGAGAACTGAAATGAAATAGAGACGATGCAACTACAGAAACAATGACTGGATGAAGTGGGTGGAACGTTTGACATTTAGAGCAGGAGGAAATGAATAGTCTTGGGGTGGGATTCTGCAGCCTCTTTGGGTCGAAAGTCTCGTGTGTAACAAACAATCAAACAACAGCTTCTCGTCCGACTAGAATATCCCTAGTGAAACTACTCCTTAGAATTATGAACCGAAGTGAATCTTAGCATCAGGTCACATCAAGTCACGTAATCGACACATGTGTTGGCAGTTAAATATCCATGCAGACCATGCCGGCGAACTCCCTCCACATCAAGGTGAAGGGCCTCTCTGTCCATCCATGAGTAAATTGTCAAAAAAAAGACAATGCATAATCTGTCAAAGTGGTTCATAGACGAGGGCGTTGTATTGTCTCCTCCTCATCCTCATCCTATTCCACCACCGCAGCCACTGTCAAACGTAAGGAGTATTATACAGACCTCTAGGCCCTATGGGCCAATTCCCACCAAAGAGACACACAGCTGGAAAAGGAAGAAAAAACTAAAAAAGAAAGGTCCCCGTCAACTCCGTGAGTATTCACCTCAATGCTTTGGGTTTTTATACGTCATCTGCTTCCCTCGTGGACGCGAAAAAAACAACAACAAAAAGACACGCACACACACTTTTGACGTCAATGTTCCCCAAATCGTCGTAGCCTCATTCATGGCTTTCCATTAGTCCAACTTGCCAAGATCATGCTGTGCAGGGCAGCGTTGTTCCTCCAGTCTCCTCCATTCCTGTTCAAGCAAGCCAAACTTCTAGTCGACCTTGCCGTTGCCATTGGGCCCCAATAGACCCTCCTTCATCAGCTCCTTGTTACCCCACGATTCTTCCAGGCGGAAGTGACCGCCACGGCCCTTACGGGAGCGGCTGCGGAACCATGAGAAGGCTCCAAATGCCAGGCCAAGTATGCAGCCCATGGTGAGGAAGGGATGCTCAACAAAAGTGACACGAATGTCGAAGAAGATCTTCTCAAAGCTCGAGATGGTGAGCTTGGGTTTGATTTTGGGCGGCGAAGAGACGACCTTGTTAATGGTCTCCAAGATCGAAGTCCGAGATAAAAGGATGTTGTTACCAGTAATAGTGGTATCCCAGTAGCGGCGGTTCTAGATGCCAAGTCAGTCTGGCTGCTCACATGTGTGCATCATGATTGTACTCACATCCTCGTCGTTGATAATGACCCGGTCTCCGTCCTTGGCATCAATGCCATACGTGGTGCGAATCCATCTCTGCCAGAAAACACTATCAACCCAGGCAAAGCCAACCTGCTTCCGGTCCGACTTGTCCATGTTGATGCGAATGGCTTTGGCTGCGCGCAACGCACGCTGGTCGCCGCGGTCGTCGGCTTCATCAATTCGGAGTTGCTTCGCATCTCGCAGTTCTTGCCTTTCGTGCTGGAAGAGAAGGATCTGCTTATCCATCCACTCGTTGGCAGCACTCTTCAACTCGCGCTTGGCTCTGAGGAAGCCTTCCTGGTCTTCCCTGTTGACGATACCGAGGACGACAATCTTGCCGTCCATGATCTCGCGGGCATTGGAAGCAGTCATCTCGGGAACAATCGGGAGCCAGACCGACTTCATCCAGTTCAAGACTTGGTGAATATCGCGCATCTCCTTCGGTGTCAGCGGCTGGTAGTATGTGGGGCGGCCCTCTCTGGAAACGAGCAAGCGAGGCCAGGTCGTGATCTTGTAACGAGCGAAGAGAACGGGGTCCTTGGTCTTCACAAGCTTTGCCTTGCCAATAAGGCTGAGAGGGATGCGCTCGAGGGCCATGAAGTCCTCGGTGGTGGTAGCATGGTCGTAGAAGTAGATGAAGATGACCTCTTCCTTCTCCTCGAGAACTGCCAGGGACTCGGCATCCACATCCTGTACCCCCTCGCTGATGTCGATGGCTTTTTCCGCGTAGTGAACGAAATCGCCGAGACCTCTCAAGCCATCGTACTCGACACGCTCGCCACCCTTGAAGAAGAGGATGGTGGGGTAGCCGCGAAGATGAACGTCCTTGCAGAGTCTAGTCTCCACATCACAGTTGACCTCTCCGATGTTCAGACGACCCTTCATCTCCTTGGCCAGTTGCTGCCAGTTAGGTGCCATGGCCTGACAGTGATGGCACCAGGGCGCGTAGAACTTGACAAACCAGGGTTCCTGGGTCATGGTGACCAAGGTCTGGAACCTCTCAGCACTCAAAGGCACAGAATTGCCTTCCTTGTTAGGTGTGACTGTGGGCTTCTTCGCGACGGCCTTGGTGGGAGCGGCAACGGCCTTTTCGGTGGTGCTAGGCTTTGCGTCTCCCTTGACGTCGGCCTCGGCGTCATTCGTGGCATCAGTCTTTGCGTCGCCCTTTGCGTCACCCTTTGCATCGGTTTCGCCCGCAGGCTTATCGTCCTCTTTCGCAGGGGGAGCCTTTGGAGGGGCTTTGGTCGCTTCCTTAGGCGGCGTCTTGTCTTCAGCCTTCGCGTCCGTCTCGGCGTCAGCCTTGACGTCCACAGGCTTCTGCGAGTCGTCTTTCTTTCCGGGAGCCTTTTCGGGGGAGTTCTTGTCACCAGGCTCGGGATACTCGAGGGTGCGGGGCCTGGACCCAGGCTTGGCCGCCTCCAGATACTTCTCGAGAACGGGGCTGATCTGGTCAATGTCCTTAACACCCTTAATCAACTCGACCAGCTCCGCATTCTTGTAGAGGATGGTGCTGGGGTATGACGCGACGTTGTGGGAAGCGCAAAGATCGAAGTAGGCTACGCAGTTAATCGTGGCGAAGCGGAAATCGTAGAACTCGGTAAAGGTCTTGTCCTCCTTCGAGTGGGGCTTCGAGGTGTAGTACCACTCGTACAAGGTCTGATATATCGGCGCATAGTCTATGCAATGCGGGCAGTAAGGGCTATTCCATCATCAGCAGCTGCGCGACGGATGGGTGGGCGATAGCATGATCGGGTACCTGTAGTGCTTGACAAGCACAAAACGTGAGGCTTTGACCTCCTCGTCGAAGTTATCCGGCGTCAGCTCGAGTATTGGTGGCACTTTGATGGAGTTGAAGTAGGTGTTCTCCCGTTCATCCTTCTCTGTCTCTGCCGCTTGAACCCCACAGAGGAGGGTCGAGCCCAGAAACAGGAACAAGGGGGATAACCTCATTGCCGCGACGAGGTTACACCGCGTGAGTGCGGCGACTTTGAGCGAAAATAAGTAGCTTAGTTTGTCGGATGATGCCAGTAACGGCTGAGCAGACGCAATCAAACGAAAGGGCGCGGTAAAGCGCGATTGTGTCGTCAATTCGCAAGCAAAAGGTGCAGCGTCAGATAGGTGTGGATCGAATCCGAGTCGCGATTGAGGTCGTTCGAGGGGTTTGCGAAGGGTTAAGATAAAAACCTTTTAGATCGCCGGAGACATGGAGGGTAGAAAAGTCGAGAAAGAAGCTAATGTTCCTTTCTTCGTCTTGGGTCAAAGCCCCCCGAAAATCGTCCAGCGGCGGCGTCGAACGAAGAGGAAAAGAAAGGGTGGTGGCAGGTTGGTGGTGCCTTGCAAAGGGGGAAGCCAAGCAAAGGGACCAGCAAAACGAGCGACAGGACTGGCAGGTCAGGAGAAGACTGTGTGTCAAGATTCTGTAGCGCGGTCCAGGTTCTGGTTCTTGGTCCGGCCGTTGCACAGCCAGACACGGAAATGGGATTACTGCCTGGTAGATAAGGCAACAGCGGATGCTTCGTTCGTGTCGCCATGTCCTGGGTGCCTGGATGGGGTGAGGCCGCAGTCTCCACTCTCCGGGCAGTCACCCTGAACCACCTCAACCCAAGACTCCCCAAGCCTGGCCCCATCCCGTCCGTTCTTGGTGTCCCGCTGGCAGGCTGGCAAAGGCCGGCTGGCGGTAAGTGGAGAGTGTGGGAAGACACCTGCGGGAACTTGAGGTGCCAGCTGTCCGCCTGCTCGGTTTGTCCCCACCAATATTGGTTGACTTTGCCATTCAAAGCTCGGCAAAGTTTAATCTCGCATCTTGCTTGGGGCGGCAGCGGGGCGGATCCGGATTGCGATAAGAATAGAATGCTGCTTATCCATCTCAGATCGCCATTTTAAATCAAATGTTAATTAATCACCCGTGCCACGCAACAAACTCTGGAACACCATGGAGGTTTGTTCCAATGGCACGTGCGGATCGTCATAAACCCAAGCTCAGGGCTTACATACACAACGGTACGAAAAGACCCTGACCCCAGGGCACTTAGTTGTCTGATTCTTGAACCAACATGAAGGTTTACTAGACCTGTGTTCCCTTTTTGCTACAGCTGGGTCGACGACTAATCCACATCGTCACTGCTACTGCTTGAAATCCCGACGGAGCTGGTATCATCGACAAACAGGAAGCCCCGCTCACGAGTTCTTGGGGTTTTCATGCGTTTAGAACCCAGCAAGAAATCCTCACGATTGCGTTCTCGTAAATCTTCCAAAAAGTGTCTGAAAGCCAACCACTCGTCGAACGTCGGCACCGTCTCGCCTGGTTGTCTGGAGTCTTCCTTGCCATACAGCCTGGCCGTCATAATTCTCATTGGGGTATCGCCAGCCGCGTTTGCTTGATCAGGATTCACACCGCGAATACGAGCATCGCTCAAGACGTCAATGAGCTCCTGGTTGGCACTTTGGGCCGCGAAGTGGAGCACACCGGAACCATTTTTGTCTATGGCATCGAGCCTGGCCCCGCACTGGATCAGGAGCTCCAGCAAAGCTGCGTTCCGCCATAGAATCGTGTCATGGATCGGTGTCCGGCCTTCAAACCCGGCTTGTTTGGACGGTACGTTGAGGTCCATGCCGGCATTGCAGAGCAGGTCGAGAGAGCGGTCCCAGTAGCACCTCCTCGGGTCCCAACGTGCGACGTTACTCGTGCGGCGAGCCCTATACGAGAGCGGGCATACCCAATTTGTGTCAGTCTCAACTACTAAAGCACTTCCCTTCTGCAGCAGTAATTCCACGACGCCGGGGTTGTCGAACGCAAACATGATCGCTGTCTCTCCTCTGGAACCACGGTAGTTGTTGACCTGTGCATCAACATCTGCGCCTGCCTCAAGAAGTGCGCGGGTCATCCTCACTGAACCAAGAGGTTCGTATCGCGCGGCGTAATGTAGTGGTGTCCAACCGCTCCTCGTAGTCGTCTTGAGACTGGCACCACGGTACAGCAGCATATCGAATGAAGCGTAATCGGCCAGAAAGATCGCCCAGTGCAGTGGACACCACCCGTAACTATCCAGGCTATCAATGTCAGACCGAGCTAGTGTGATTGCGTCTGACAAAGATGTCGGTATGGCCCCGAGAATCGCATCGTGTATCAACGATGATGTCCGACACTCTTGGGAAAACGTCAATTTTTCGAGCATCTGATGATGCTCGGGCTTAAGAGACTGAATTTGATTTTGTTCCACAGCATAATAGAGCAGACGAGAGCGTGTGGCAGCGGTCCTAACACAGGTCAAACCCGAACCCAGTGCGGCACCGGATATGGTTGGCTTACCAGCCAGTAACGTTCTCAGCATGCAGTGGCCATCCTTGCTCGATCAGAAATTCCGAGAGCGTCAAGTTGACGTCGCGCAGCGATAACTAAAGAGGGAGCCATTCGTAAGATCATAGGAATTGCTTGGTCTACAGTCATTGAAATACATGGACGTACCATAAGAAGAGAGTTCCCATCCTCATCTACATCTGTCGGTAGTACAGTTGAGTTGAAGATTCCTCGTTTTACATAATCGATATCGCAGTTATAAACAATCGATGTCAAATGATCTCGTGGGACTAGTCGCGGAATGCGGAGGTAGATTGAAGAGCCGGCCCCAGTCAGAGTGTTCCGGGAAGTAGCGACAAAGAGGGCACGTAAGAGGAGCCATCTGGGGAAGAAGTATAACAAGCGCGACGAAGCTGGTGATCCAGAACACGCCTGGAGGTTGCATTTTCTGGGCCTCAGCAGTGGTATGCTGTTGTACTCGAGGAAGAAGGTCCCAATTATTAAGCGTAACCAAGTCGGTGTCTGTAGCTTAGAGCGATGATGACATTGGCATTTGCAGTACGATGTGCATTCCCGGTGAATTGACGCTTGCACTGACAGAAAGGGACTACCACCGGTCTCTACACAGCGTGGACCGTTGCTAGCCACGTTGGAAGACTGGTCTCTACGTTGCAGTGAGTCCTCTGATTTGAGAGCTTTGACATACATCTGGCCGAGTGAGGCCTTTATGTCTTCGATACCGGCCTGGTTAATGAATTGCATCTCTCGATTAATTCTGCGTTCTTCGTGCAAAGCCCGGAAAGAGTTTTCGATGAGCTGACGAATTTCGAGCATGACTCTGGCTTGATGAGAACTGTCCGTGGTCAACAACCCGCTGAACAGCGCCCGTCGTTGACGGTCAGCTTGGACGTACCTCTGGGATGAGACTAGAGCAGAAAGGCAGAGCATCAAGGAGGCCCTGGTATTGGTTGCCCTGTACTTCAACTTGGCAATATTGCTTCTTTCCCGTATCCACTTCGACATTGAGACTCGAAGCTGCCCGCTCATCTCATCGCCGTGGTTCGTTCCCGTGAGACGATAACACAGATCCAGGAGCTCCTCTTGAATAATTTCCAGACTCTGCTTTAAAGCCAAGGTTGGAGCTATATTCAGCGTGGGAATTGCGACATCTCCCGTCTCTATCTTCTGAAGCGGGCTCTTGACCTGTTCGATGACAGCCTGGAGAGTAGTCAGCTCGTCAACGAGCTCAGAAAAGTCCGCCGGGGCATGGCGAAGAGAAAGGAGTATTTTGACCCCTTTTCCAACAGCCGCCGATGCCTGTACCAAAGCGATGATGCTTGCGGTGATGGAAAGAGGATCCATTTCGAGCTGAGTGCGGGTAGAGAGGATGGAGAGGAAGCATGATGGCACCGTCGACTTGAAGTAGGCAAGAGTGGGGGAATGCAAAGATCATCAGCTGAAATATTAGCTGAAATTTTTCGACGAACCATTTTCACTGAAAAAGTGAAGCCGGCCAAATTGGGATCAATAGAACGCAGGCAGTGCTTGCAGGCGGGAGCTCAACCTATCAAAACACCGCCAGAGCGGCCCGCGGCCAAGAGAGGGAGGGGTCAAGCTCGAAAGATAGCTTGACTTGCCATTGCATTCCATCGACGAAGGAAAAGTGCACGAGGGTGGAAGATATGCGGCAGGCCGAGAGGAGACGAGTTGCATAGGTGTGTTGTTTGCTGCCACAATTGACCTACAGCAGACGCATTACAAGCTGGGAGCGACAATATCACTGGGCTCTTTCTTGTTGGGGTTTCACTTACGGTCACCAAGACAAAGGGCTGCTTTGAGAATCGCCAGGCTCAAATGTCTATTGCACGTCGGCTACCTAGGATTCATGTGTAGCTTAATTAAGGTAGGCAACTGGAAATACAGTAGGTTTGGTTGGCTTTTAAATGTTTCTCGGTACAGAGGTAAACCTGAGGGTTAGACACGCCTGACGGCTGTGTACTTAGGGAAGGTAGGTAAGGTAGGTACCTAACCGGATCTGAGCCGTGGCCACCTGCCTAGAGCAACAACTCGGCAAGCTCCCTCCTTCCATCGGTCATCATTACGACACCTCGACCACCGATTCATCCCAGTTGGTTTACTCGGACTATTTGAGTCAAACTTTATACATTCTGTTAAATGATGTAACGACCGAACATACTGCACCCGATCACTCGTTGACTGATTTCTCACCATGGAGCGAGCATCCAAACGGCAGCGGCTTGCCGAAGACGTGAACGAACCGGTGCCGGCGGCCCAGTCAGATGATTTGAAATCCCTGAACCGACCTGTAAGTCCTCCTACGAAGAGGAAATCAGGAGGCCTGCGAATAAAATCACCTTTTCAGCTGACAACAATCCGTGATCTCCCCGAGGCTGCGAATCGTGACTCGGTCGGTCTCGCGGACATCCTGGGCGATCCTCTGATTGCAGAATGTTGGGAGTTCAACTTTCTTCATGACATTCACTTCCTCATGAGCCACTTTGACGAGGATACCAGAAACCTTGTGAAAGTCCACGTCATCCACGGTTTCTGGAAAAGAGAGGACCCAAATCGTACAACCCTTCAGGTAAGTCGACCATGACCATCACAAGGCACTGAAAAGTTCTGAATGCTGATATCGAAAAGGAAGAGGCAGAAGCATATCCAAACGTTGAGCTACACGGGGCTTTCATGCCTGAAATGTTTGGCACGCACCATACGAAAATGATGGTGTTGATTCGGCATGACGACTCGGCCCAAGTGATCATACATACGGCCAATATGATTGCCAAGGACTGGACGAATATGACCAATGGTGTTTGGAGATCACCAATTCTGCCACTCCTTCAGGAAAATAATGTTGAGGATGCCTCGCCGGATAGCCATCCTTTTGGGACGGGAGAAAAATTCAAACACGACCTGCTCAGCTACCTAAGAGCGTACAACGTACGCAGACCAATCCTTATAGCCTTAGTAGAGGAGTTGCGCAAATACGACTTTTCGACTGTACGTGCAACACTCATCGCTAGCGTTCCCGGCCGTCACCCCGTACACGACACTTCACAAACAACCTGGGGATGGCCCGCGCTCAAGAGAGCCCTGCGCAATGTTCCGGTCCAAGAAGGAAAGTCTGAGATTGTGGTTCAGATATCGTCCATCGCTACTTTGGGGCCCACCGACAGTTGGCTGCAGAAAAGTCTTTTTGATTCTCTCACCGTATCCAAGAACAACTCCCTGAAGACACCCAGACCGACATTCAAGGTCGTCTTTCCCACGGCGGACGAGATCAGGCAAAGTTTAGACGGCTATGCTTCTGGAGCATCAATTCACACCAAGATCCAATCGCAGCAACAGGCGAAGCAACTGGCATACCTTCGGCCCATTTTCTGTCACTGGGCGAACGATGCTCCTCATGGCAAAGGTTTGGTGACAAACCTCAACATAAAATTACACAACTGACCTGTCATAGCATTGAACGACATAGCAGTAATCCAAGAATCCGGCAGACAACGGGCAGCACCTCACATCAAGACATACATTCGCTACGGCGAAAATTCGATAGATTGGGCCCTTGTCACGTCTGCCAACATCTCCAAACAAGCGTGGGGTGAAGCAGCAAGTGCATCGCAGGAAGTTAGGATTGCATCGTGGGAAGTCGGAGTTTTGGTATGGCCTTCGGTCATCGAGGAGAAAGCAACTATGTTGGGCACATTCGAAACGGACATGCCACCCAACGACGCGGGCGATGGCGAACCGGTAGTCGGGCTGAGGATCCCGTACAACCTGCCTCTTCAAAGGTACGGAAAGGACGAGATTCCTTGGGTGGCATCGGTGGCCCACGATGAACCAGACAGGTTGGGGAGAGCGTGGGGTGCTTGGGAGACCTGAGCCCTTACTGCGCTTGTCACATGTGACTCTTCTCGACTTTGGTATCATTATATTGATCCTCGATTCTTGCTCGGCATGTACTCAAGCAATGAAATCATTGATAATCCATATCAACCCGTGTCGTTTCTCATGGCCGTTAGAAGCATGCATGGGGTAGCGTTTACGCGCCGACGGCCTCGGGCTCCTTGTTGGCATCGTAGCCGTACTTCTCCTTGAGGGAGTTGACGAGGGCGACGTACTTCTCCTGGGCCTGCTCAGGGGTGACGTTGTCGTCGACGACCTTCTGCCACGCGCTCTGCTTCGCCTTGCCCTGTGACGCAACCGAACGTCAGCTTCCATCACGTGCCAATTTGGTTAGGGAGCTCGGTTGTAGATGTGGTGCCACTCACCTTGAGGTCGAAAATGCCAGGCTTGGGGGCGCTGGAGATGTCTTCGCCAGTGCTGACCTTGTAAAGGCCTGTGTTTACCCTCGAATGTCAGCTTTGAAAGGAGCCGAGGTAACTGGGGTTTGCGGGAGGCGACGCACCATAGAGCTCGAGGAGCTCGTCGTTTCCGGGCTTGGAAGTAAGCTTCTTGCTGTCGGAGACAGCTTGCTTGAAGGCTTCGCTCTGGGGGGCAGACATGTTGATTAGGAGTCTTTGGTATAAAGCGGTTTCTGAGTTTCGTGGTTGTGTAGTCGCGAAGTTGTATTCGGGGGAGGGATTGTTGAGCGCTTCTCAGTGTTGGGAGGCAGAGGAAAGGGTTGGACCTTTGGCGGGGTTAAAGGGAGGTCCCACACACCCGCTTCATCATATGCGCGGGGCAGCTGATGCTGTCATTGGGTCGGCCCTTGCACCTTGTACCTTGGTCCTCTTGCACCGCCACAGGTGATTCAGGTGGTCTATTGCCACAAGCCTGCCAACCCCAAATTGATGGGGTATCGGCCTAATGTTAAGCCGCCTTCTCCGCTGCTTGGACAAGTCAACGAAGCCGTTCGGAGCATTGTACAATCATCCTCAAGCTAATCCGACGGTCAGCCTTATCGGTAGCGATGGTTAACCTCTCTCCGCCGAAGGGGACATGCTCACCACATCCATGGTTGGCCAGAGCACAATCTGCCGGCATCTTCCCTCGACCTGCCGCCTCTAAAGTCGACGTTAACCGTTCGGCCGTGCTCACGGCATTCGGCAGGAGTTTGGCAGTTCGTTGACTTAGCAGCCGCCCAGTCCAAAAAATGACACCCGAGCGCTTGATCTCACCAGGCTGGCATCGGATTCTGCAACGATACTCGTCTCTTCAAGCAGAGATGATGGCGGGCGTCTGAATTACTCCCAGTAACTACTCAGCATGGCTCGTGTCTCAAGCGGACCACAGCAACTTGGCTTCATTGGCCAAAGCACGGCTGGTTCTCTTCAGAAGGGGACTCTGGAGTCTAAAGTCGCACCAAACGGGCTGGTCCGAATTGAACGAATCGGGAGTGACAACTGCCCTCGGACCCGACATGTTGCTGCATTTTGAAGCTTGCTCTAGAGCTGTGGACGAGGATAGGATCTGGTATTCATTGTGAGGAAACGTTATGGAAACGCAAATGATATCAACAACCCCTACACCATCAGCATCCCAACCTGGACCAGCCTCGATGCAGCAACCCGCCCAAGCTCAACCTTTGTTTTCGTCTGTTCTTTTTCCTCGTGCATACCAACATCGTCGAATGACAGTCCGTCACATCGTTGTCTGGGCGTGGGGAAAGCCGAACGGACAACGGGGGATCGACAGGCCCGCCCATCCAATGACGGACAGTCCAAGGCTTTCTGTCTGACTTACCAACCACATGTTGTGTTACCAACCTGCAAACGGCACGGACTTTGAGACTGAAACCTGCCCGAAAATACTAATGGCACCAATTCGCGTCCTTCATTACCGCAGCCTGGAGAGGGGACGCGTATCCGGACACTTTGAGATGGGAGGGGGCGCATCGGATACATGCCGCCAGGCTATATTGAACCTCGGGCCCGAGCATGCTATGAATGAGAATAAATACCAGACATGTCGCAGCTTTTGGCTGAGGAAAATCTGGTGGGCTGAAGTTACTCAACATTCCCTTGATCCCTTGAGAACCCATCAACGCGAAGCAGATATTTGTTCGACAACGTGACGGATACCTTCGTTTACTTCCGCCAAGGAAGGCGGTTGTCCCACTTACCACCAATATTCAGAAGGATAGGTACTATCTGAACACAAATTAGCACAAGAGAGAGGCAATATGGTCAAAACAGTCGTCGTTCTCGGCGCCGCATATGGCGGCCTGGCCGTAGCTCATCGTCTGCTAAAGTACACCCGCCAGAAAGAGCCGGACCTTAGAGTGATCCTGGTTTCAAAGGTGAGAAACTTTTCTAGTCTACACTATGATTGGCACACATCAAATCTTTGAATATTCTTGAAATCGGACGACCTCGGCAGAAGCAAGGGGCGCCACCAAGCTCAGAGGCCTGTGGGGGCGGCGTAAGGCAGTTGCAGACAACGACCCACAGTTCAGCTTACCTCGTCTTATGGGAATCGAAGGAGTCGGGAATGATGAGAATTGCGAGGAGGATAGTTTGAATATCTCATAAGAAATCAGTGTAGGGAAAATATGGGCAAGGCTAATGAAAATGGCAGACCACTCATTTCTACTGGAACATGGCGTCCGTCCGCGCTATTGTGCCCGGCATCGTCAAAGACGAGCAGGTTTTCCAGCCAATCGAGCCCGGTTTCGCCCACTATCCCAAGGAAAGCTTCGAGTTCGTCCTCGGAACCGCCACGGGACTGGACGTGGCACGCAAGTCGGCCCTCGTATCGACCTCATCCGGGCCCAGGTCCCTGCCGTACGACTATCTTGTCCTCGCCACCGGCGCCCGCTCCGCCTCCCCCGACATGCCATGGAAATCGGCCAACACCCACGAGGAGACGCAGGCCCTCCTTCACGCAACCGCCGAAAAGGTCAAGGCCGCCAAGCACATCGTCGTCGCCGGCGCGGGCCCCACGGGCGTCGAGTGCGCCGCCGAGATCCGCTTCGAATTCAAGGACAAGGAGGTCCACCTCCTGTCCGCCAACGACGAGATCCTCGCGGGTGACACCATCGCCCGGCCCGTCGAGAACGAAATTGCGAGGCTGGGCGTGCAGGTCAAGAAGAACGCGCGCGTCGCAAACTCGCGGCCGTTGCCGGATGGCAAGACTGAGGTCAAGCTCATGAGTGGCGAGGTCATCCGGACGGACCTGTACCTGCCGACCATGGGCCTCGTGCCAAACACTGAGTACCTGGATGCCAGCCTGTTGAACGATCGCAAGTACGTCAACGTGGATGAGTTTATGCGCGTCAAGGGTGTCGATAACATCTGGGCGTGCGGAGACATCGTCTCGTACCCGCGGGCGGGCTTCATGGTCACGGATAAGCAGGTGCGTCACATCCCCATCCTCTCTTTCTTCCACCCACAAGGTGCCACGATGTGGTTTATAAATAGACAAACGAAGCACTAACAATTCAAACTACAATAGGCCGCCGGCGTAGTCAAGAACATTGAGCTCGCGATCGACGCCAGGGACCAGGTGGTCGCGAAGGGCATGCCCGTCGACGTTTACGTTTGCGCCACAGGTCGTAGCCGCGGCGCGGGCCGCATCGGCTGGGTCAAGGCTCCCTCTCTGATGATCTGGGCCGTCAAGAGCCGTAATCTCGGGATGCCGATGGCTGTGCCGTATGCCAATGGCGGTCAGTGGTAAGCAGAAGCGGTCGACAAAGTCAGGCTCGCGAGGGTTGGCTGTTGTAGTGACGCGATAGGGATTTGGTGCTGGGGCGGGCATTTGGAGTTTTGTTTCATGTATCTACACTCATACATTCTATTCAAATAATACGATACGTCCTCAAAGAGTAGAAATACACATCTCGGATCCAGTCCTTGTCCCGATGCTCACGACTCTTGTCACACCCTTCTTCTTTTATCCTAAGCACCGTTCTCATCACCCATCAGCCCTAATAACTCGCGAGGGTCACTACCGGAGAAGAATGATCGCTAGGACGGAAAAGAATGAACACCCAGTGGCCTGAATCCGCATGCTTTATTTATCGATCCCATTGCCTTCTATAAAGGTACAGTCTTTACGCCTCAAGGCCATTGCCTTCTCCTCATCTCATCAATCTCAGCAGGGGAATGGCGAATATTATGATTTTACATGCACATAGGATATGCGTAGAGATGAAAGCAGCTCCCTGAATTGGACGCAGAAAAGGTACCCGTGCCAGATCAGGCTCATCCCTGCTCCCCCTTTGGGAAGAAATAGAACGGAATTAAAACACTACCCAAGCAAACCGCCCGGCACCTGAAGGAGACGCTGTCAAATTTGGATTTCTCTTTCATCTTCATCTGCTGGACTTCTCATCCTCAATCTCCCTCCGCAGCTGGTCGAGCACGTGCTGCCGCGACGAGAGATGCGTCTCCAGACCCTCGACCTGTTCCTTGACCGTCTGCAAATCATCTGACACACCCTTCAAACCGGCACCGCCGCCCTGGCCCTTGCCGCCGCCGCTCTCGAGGTCCTTCAGCTCCTTGCGCTTGTAGTCGAGCAGCTGCTCAAGCTCGCGCTTGACGAGGGCGGGCTTGCCATCGCGCTTACCGCCCTTCTTGCGCTCCACATCTGCCTCAATGCGGGCCATCTTCTCGTCGAGCTCCTGCAGCTGCTTCTTGAGGCGGACCTCCTCCCAATCGTCCGTCTTGGCCGTGGAGAAGTCGGTGCCGCTCGATTTGAAGCCGCTACGGCCCAGGCGGGTGAGGTACTGGTCGCCGAACTTGGCCTTGCGGCCCGTCGCCGTCGAGTCGTCGGCCTTTGTCGCCCAACGGGAGGCGCCGGGCGTCTGGTTGTCTAGTTGGTAGTCGATCTTGTTACGCTCAAAAGAGGCGCGCAGTGAGGCGGGAACGGTGCGCGGGATGCGGAAGCCTTCGTGGCGGTTGTTCAGGATATGCAGGAAGGCGAGGCAAGCGTCCTTGTTGATGGAGGGGCCGGCTGAGGGGTTGATGAGGTTCCAGGCCGAGCGGATGTCAGTGTCGGGGACGTCGAGAGATTCGTAGAGGTCCTCCAAGGCAGTGACTATAATAAATGCCACGTTAGAAAAAGCAGTATGCCGAATGTGTGCGCGCGCAGTTGAACCTACAAGCTACCTCTCCCCGTGCATCCCGGTTCTCTTGGTATATCGATTCATACTTGGATTTATCCGCTGGACTCATGTACCAGTCGAATCCGTCCTTCAACCCCGGCGAGTCTGGATCGTCGTCAACCTGCTCGAACGCCACTTGCCTCCCTGTGAGCGCGCGATTCGCCTGAACGAGATGTGCCTTTGACTCAGGAACGAGCCAATCGGGGAGTGTCGTTGGGACGTCTGAGTATTCCTGTTCATCCGAATGCGATTAGCATCTCTGTGACACCCTTTCCCCATGCAATATCCAATTCAAGGCAAACTCACGCCATTCAAAATATCGAAAATGACTCTCATCGCAACACAAAACTCCTCAAAATCGAGATTGCCATCGTTGTCGACGTCGGCGAGATCCCACACCCTCTCGAGCTGGTTGTCCGTCAGGCCGCTGTTCTTCAGCACCGGCGCGGCCTGTTCTCCCGTCAGGAACTGGCCCCCGCCTGTCCGGGTGGAGAAGATGTTCCAATACGTCTCGATTTCTTGTGCTTCGATGCGAGGAGGAGCCATGACGTGCGTATGTGTAGATTTGTTCGTGTATACGGGGAGATCGTCGGTGGACCGAGGTTGACGGAGGGGGGGACGAGGGCCGTCTTGAAAGTCGAGCTTGCTCGGGCCTCGCTCGTATGCGTGGCGGGAAATGCGGTGCGCAGACGGCTACTTGTCTTCACTGTTTGCTTGTGAAGCAGTCCGACGGGGTGTTGGGTGTCTCGTGAACCGAAGATGGTGAGGTATGGCCGGAGGGGTGTCGTTGTTGCTGAGTGAATCGTCGTCAGGCCGCGTGGGAGCTCGGCCAAGGATATGGATTTGGGGTAATCGGCGGTTTGGAAGTGGGAGGCGGTGCTTCTGTAACTTGGCTGGGCGTGCGCTCGGTGAGGGAAGCTCGGTGATGCAAGGTCGACCCACAGGTCGCAGTCACTGACCCCTGTCCACTTAGCTCATCACCGACTTACATAATACTGGCATTCCTCAGGGACCTGCTCAACGACACCTCCTTAACCTGGAATTTGATGCAGCAGTTGTATCACGGATCAAAGCAGCCATCATTTCGAGCAACCATGTGTGTTTCTACTTTACAAGCTATCGTATTGGTGGGTATCTCAACATGAACAAGAGGTCATCCCCAAAGCAACCTGCCCAAATTCCAAATGGGTATTCGTCGAACCAGTGTCATCCGCAAGCAAACTCTGAAGTTGCGAGCAAAATAAATAAGGTATCCGAAGTCCAGAATTTCCCAATGGTGGTACTCAAACAAATCCTCGAGTGGGAATTTCATATGCAACGAAGACGCAAAGTCATCATTTTTGCGAAAGAAATAAGAAAAGAATTGAATGATGCAGCAAGAAAGTTCTTGCAACCCAGGAGACGTAATAGACGTATCTCTGGCTTCTATATTCGCCTTTTCCGCTTTAGTGTTGCCTCCAAGTAGGCAAAAATTTTGTCCGAAATGCAATTCAACGATCCTTCTTGTTAGTCAAGCTAGGGCAGGCTGTCTTGCGGTTAAATACGCTTTTCAATACCGCCGGGTGGCTCCATAGTTCCGCTCACAAGGCCGCCTGTTGTACCGGTCGTTGCTTGCTCGTTATTGCTGTGCTGCGCGGTGGCCTTCTCGACTTGGATCTCTCTGCGAATGCTTTCGGTAACCCCAGGGAATTGGCTACTTGCCGCGTTCGACATCCCGGGATTCTGGTTGTGAGAAGCATATTTACTTGCCGGCCACGATGCCATGTTCATAGCCAGACGCTCTCTGGCAAGCTGCATAGCTATGTCGGCACTATATCCTCGTCCAACCATCTCCAACGCATAGTCCGCGCCATCTGGTACCGCATCCCAGAACTCCTCATAGCTTTTGTACTGAGGAGGGAACATTCTACCATGTTTGTCCCGACTAGGAGGTGCCGGTCGAGGGGCTTGGCTCGAATTGTTGGTTGATACAATATTTTCCGGTGATCGCTGGGAAGACGCCGGGTTCGGGGCGGGCGCTATGGCTGGCATGGAAGAATGGCCCCATCTTCCGGTAAGGGCGTGAGCATCGGTCTGTGGCTTAGGTGCTATGGCGCGAGGAGAATAGGCTCCAGGAAGCGATGCTTGACGCCTCTCAAGTGTCAAAGGCGCCGCGCCAGAGGAGAAAGACGTTGGCATACGCCCTGCACTAGGCATTTGACGAACACCAGATCTGAAGTCGGGTCCATGGTGAGCCTGATAGGTTGAAGGTGCATTGACAGATTCCGAGACTGTCGTCATTGTCCCCTGAGGCTGCGACACTTGGTTTGCAAGAGGCTGAGTCGTAGTAGTTTGGCCCTTACTACTGGATGACTTGATTGTCTGCAAATTGATACGAGGTCTCTCAGCCATGGCAGTTGTGGACGCCTGAGGGGCGACTGACTCCGGGCTAGTAGTTGGGTTGCTTGCCGGAGGTGTAGCAGCATTAGAAATCTGAGAACAGTTCGCAGCGGCCTGCAAATCCGCCGCTTGGTTTGCAGCCTGTGTGGCAACAATATCCTCAGGCTTGGGATACTTGCGAGGGCGGCCTCGGCCACGTTTGATAGGCTGGAGTATACCGTTACGGCTCATCTGTTGCGGACCTGCAGGCTGTTGGGGCTGAGTCTGCGGAGCTGGCGTGGCCTTCTTCGGCTTGCGGGCTCTCTTAGGTTTGGGCTTGTACTCTTCGTCGCTGTCATCAGCCTGACGCTTGCGAGATGGCTTGCTAGAGCTCATCGTGGCTGGGGACTCAAAGCTGTCCTCGGGCATAGTCGGAGATTTGTAAGTGTTATTGTGTCTCTGGGGAGTACCAACCGTGTGTCTTGCAGGAGTATTAGCCACATCAATGATCTGGCCGTGGCGCTCTGAGCCTACAGGTGGGGGCGCAGATTCGTTGTGGAAAGCGGTTTCTTGCTGGGCCTTTCGAACTTCAGCATCCTTCAACTCGAAACGAGGCTGTTGTGCTCCAGAGACTGCAGAGAGGGTATCGGTGCTTGTCATCAGATACGGGGGCTCGGTGTAGGATTTGGCGTTGGAATTTCCTTCGGAGTTGTCGTGCTGATGGCCGGCCTCCTGGGCAACACGCTGGTGGGTGGTCGCATAGGAAGTGGGCTTCTCTCTTAGCTCAGGTCCAAGTGACATCTCAGCGAGGTACCACTGGGGGAGATTGAGTCCGCCTTGAGCTGACTTGTAGATGGAGGACTGGAAGAAATCGAATCCGGGTTCAGCAGAGCCTCTGGGCTCCACCTCATCCACACCAGCGAAGATGCTTTGGGGTTCCGCTGAGCTCGCGCCCTGCCAAGTTGGTGGGTCATTAGGAACCTGCGCCACTGGGAGATACAGCTTCGACAAGACCTTAGTTTGATCCACGTCGGGCTCAGGATGACTGGGGCAAGGTAGGAGACCATTGGCTGGAGATAGCAGTCCTTCGAAGGGAAATACGTGATTGACCGGCTGGTTGTTGCTTTGAGCCTCAGAGGAGGCTTCATGCAAGCGGCTGGCCGTGTTCTGTACATGATCGCCTGGAAGTTGGTGTTCCTCAGGTTGATCCTGCTGTTGTACCGCAGTGGCCTCAAGACCGCCATCAGTTGTAGGCTCAAGGCTCTCATTTGAGACAGCAGGACGCTTCGGGCGCATGGGGACGCCCGTAGGCTTGTACAGCTCATCCATGTCGAGATTTTCAAATACCCACGCATACTGCTGGTGGTTAGTGTTATTTTCACCTCAACTTCAAAAGCAAGAGTTGGTGCCAGACAACGTTGATATCGAGAATGATATGTGGTCCATAAAGGGATGCAATAGAATGAAGGAATAGGCTTACCTGATTATTTTCACCGACGATTGGGTTTCCATGAAGGCACGCTCGATCTGACTTCAGGTGGGTGCTCGCTGAGTCTGTAACTGTAGGAGTGCCGTGCTGTTGGTGTTGTCTTTGACCGTCAGGATCTTCAGGATTGGTGGTGAGCAGTGTGTTCTCAGGGCGACCATTTATGGAGTCCAGATGGGGGAGGTAGGCTTGAATCTCCATCAAGCGGTTAACCAATTCCTGGTCTGCCGGGCCGAATTGACCATGCCACGGTTGAGGCTGATTGTTGTGAGGAGCATCGACATTGTTCAAAGTCAAGTCTCTGTTTCCCTTATCCAGGATAGCTATGCAAGTGGCCATGATTTCAGGCTCAATTGGCAGCACGTGAAAGTCCCTGGAGACGCCACGGCATCCATCAAGTCCTTTGACATGCTCGCTTTGACCTACTTGGTTCAAGTAACGGCACCCCTGCTCATACTCGTGATGCTTGAGAGTATCGGTGGGAAGGTAGGGTCGATGGAGAACCTTCATGCCGTCGCTAGGTGGCAATCGGCCACTAGTCAGCTCAAGCAGCTCAAAAACGTCAATCTCATCTGTCATCTTGGCCCACGCTTTGATCTCTCGATGGTACTGGACATAGGACATGACAAATTTGATGACTTCCAAAGTGGTGAGCTTGAGATTCTTTGCGGCAGAAGCAAAAGTCTCAGCTTCACAGAGGACCTGGAACAAGGCCCATTGTGCTCCATGGCTGACTTGGGACCACTCAATGATATAACCATTTGCTGGATTGCCTTTGGTGCCAAGCAACCCATCAAAAGGCTCAGGGCTGCCCCAGTCGATGCTGTTTGTCGAAGCCATGTGGAAATCTTTGAAGCTTTCGCCTCTCTGGAGCGCTCTTCCGTTGGATTCATGCGTTGTGAGCCATCCAGTCGCATTCTTGTCGACGCCTTTGATCTCTTGCTCATGGCCTTCATCTTCATTATCTAGCTTTTGTTAGCAGGATGCTTGACTGATATCGAGTAAAAATACTTACCGCCATCACTGAAATCTTCAGGAGGCGGGTTCCGCTTCTTCAACCACAGATCAATCGTCCCGTTGTCCCTTGCCTCAGTATATTCATCACCCAGACCACGCTGGTCCAGAGGAATAGTCGGGAAGGAGGCGTAACGCGCTGCGTTAGGGTCAAAGACTGGGTCTGGGTGAACCCAGGCCGGCTTCTGGACCCCAAGCGCATACGGCTCCTGGTAACGACCAACCTGAACCAAAATAGTCGATCGTCTCAAGGCTCGCTTCCTATTGCCATCTTCCTCCATTGTGTAATGAGTATTGCGCACGTGATACTCAAAGGATGGCGGCTTCAGACGCCAGCAGCGAGCGAGATAGAAGGGAGGGGGTGATGGTTAATGATCGTAATGAGAGTGCAATGGTAAACAAAACGTTGGTGAGAGTAAGGATATTCAGCGCTGCTAAGAAAAGGGTAACGCTGGTTGTAATTGTGATGAGTGTGAGAGGAATGTGATAGAGGTGAGATGAGAAAGAAGGGCTTCCGTGAGATTTGAAGGGTGTACTGTAAACAGAAATATTCGACAGTTTCTCACCGGGCATCTCACATAGGTGAGTAGGATGGATGAGGCAGGAGCATTGGGGTACCTTAGGGTGAAGATAAGGCAGTCGCTCCTTCTCTTGATGGAAGGTTCGGGTGCAAGTTGAGGTAAGGTGAGGTGAGGTGAGGTGAGGTCCAGTAGCTGAAGGTCACTCTAGGCTTATACATCCTGGTTAGTTGGCCTTCGGTAGACTTGGTTTCATTGACCCAGGCGTTAATTGTCTATTCTGATGATTGAGTAATTGTGCTGAGTGTCAAGTGAAGATAGTATCCGGTTCGTCTTTATTTGCGTCCCTTCGATCTGCATTTCTGTGAGAAGTGTGAAGAAGGGCACTAGAATAAGCCATGGCATGACCTAGCTGGAGGATTAACAACTCGTATCTGCGTTCAATAGAATGGTTTGATTGATATAGTCACATTTGCTGTTTAGACTGTTCAGATCATACCTGGTTGTAAGCGACCTTTTGCTTCATACTTGTTCACAAGACGAGAGAGCCTCTGAATGGGTATGATTCAAGACTACTTTTGTAATGGATTATAAAAGTGGTGAAACAGGTCTAAACTGAAAACTAGAGTCGTTGCCGACTGTAACGGGTATACTGACACCTCGGACGCCTATCCATGTTCCCAAAGCCAAATTCTAATCCCCCTCGGTGAATGCTCTCAAAGAGACGCTCTACAACGGCCTTCCCGCTGATGCGAATGCTCACCGCCTGATCCAATGCCTCTACTGCAATCTCTTCGACCCTGATACCTGATAGAGATATAACCAGAGACCGCCTGTAATGTCTTCCCCCCCCAACATCATCTGGCCGCGACCCCTACGAGACCATGTCGGGATCACGAAACGGAACAAATTTGCTCCTGTCCTGATACCGCTCGCGGTCCGCAGCGAATGTCTCATAACCGCCGCCCTGCCTGTCCTCTTCGTCAAGGGTCGTTTCAATGCCACGCTTGCTTCGTCCGCCGCTGTTTCCACTCGACTGGCCGGCTCGAGGAACATCTCTCGTCGCACTGAACACATTTCTCTGGGCATTGAGAATGTCTTCGTAAGTTCGTAGCATCCTTTTTCCATCCTCGTCAAAGTTGGCGGAGAACCGTTGCATGGAGATGAATTGCACGGTGGATACCATGTCCTTTCCATACATGTTCATAATGTAAGCTGCAGCGACAAAAGCGGACCGATCATTGCCTGTTTCGCAAACAAGGAGGATCTTGCCGCTTCTGAAGTTTTCCTCGTCGATAGCCATCTGACCTTCATGGACAGACATGGCTTGGCTGCGATACACGTCGACTAAATGACTGTTGATCTTTGTCACCACCTCTGGGAAGCTATGGATCAGTTCAGAGTTGTCCAAGACGTCCAGGTACTCGACGTGGATGCCGAGCTTCTGAGCTACCTTGTCGACACTCATGAGTCGAGCTTGAGCCATCCTGGAATGCCGTGTTACAATGATCATGGTGATGCTCTCCTTAGCAAGCCAAGCTTCGTTGCGGGCAACGGATAACGGGCCGAGGTAGAGGAAGTCCAAAAGTGTCTGTGCTTTGCGTCGAGCCTCGTAGTTCCAGCCGACTGATCTGTCTGTGGCAGTCTGACTCTTGTTCCGGGTTATGATCCTGAGGTCCTCGCCTGTGAGGCGCATGGCATCGACATTGTTGAAAGAGGGGACAAATGTAAAAGTAGCGGCGCCTTTGGCAAATGTCATGGGAATGGGTATGTAGGGAGGGCTGGGGGGCCTGTTGCTATATGGAGCTGTGGCGATGGCATGCTCTTTCGGCTCTTCCATGTTGATTAATGCTTGATGCGGGGTTGATGATGATAAGTAGTCGGCGGTGCTCCGGAGGTGTGTTGGCGATGAGGGGTGTTTTGGCGAAGAGAGGTGTTTTACTGTGGGAGTGCAGTACGCACTGACTCGAAGCAACCTGAACAGAGTGCCTTTGTTCGCTGTTGCCGACGCCGTGGTGGCACGAACGCAAGCGAAGACTCTTGAAAATTTCGTTCAGCAAACCAAGAGAGAGGGAAAAAAAAAGCAAAGTGCCGGGTATTGTTCTGGGTGAATTGGGAAAGCTTGTGACGTTGGCTGAAGCGGTAGTGGTTTGGATGATGTTTATGTAAAGTTGAGAGGTGGAGTTGGAAAGTACAGAACCCGCCGGTGGGTTGCAGTAGGTAAGGTAATGGAATGGAAGGTATCGAATCGGCAGACTGGGGGCGAGCTTAGGCCCCCTGCGCGGCGTCTATACCGCCCCACTCGGCAGCCTAGACCCATGGATCGGAAAGCGCTAGAGGCGACCTAACCATGTGTCAATCCCAGCCTATTCCGATCCCCAGAACCTTGCTGGGCAAGTGGAATGGTAGCACGCTCAGTGACATCGCCCGAGTATCCTCAAATGACCATAAGTCTGGGACCAAGAGGAACAAGATCACTCGTGACAGTTACAGACTTGAGCTGCAATCACCGTGCTGGGCAGGCCTGCATGCCTCTGCTCTGAGACGATAGCTACTTGCATCTTGGGACCGGTCCCATGCAGCCAGCCAGCCTGATTAGACGCTGCCGCTTCGTCGCACCGCAGAGCTCTTTGGGCAACTGGAAGGACTTTCTAGAGAAGGAATACCCCGCCATGCAAGGTAAACACCAATCCATGTCTGGGCGACTCATGCAGGTACCTGTCTGTCTTAGATGATGGGCCTGTGTCAACCCCCATCTTCCCATCTCACGGAACGACCAAGAAACGGCAACTTGTCTTGCGCGAAAGATTGTGTCAGGTTGAGGCTTGATGTGCGTCATTTCCCATTCGCTAGGAGAAAGAGAGAAACCATGGATCAAACGCTGATCACTTCGTATCAACCATTTACTGCATTGATTTGGTCTTAGTCACACAGGTCTAACGAAGTCACTTCCGACAGTGAAATGCTGGAGGATTTTAGGATAGAAGAGAAATGCCTCATCGTGCTTCTAGCTAACTCACCTTACCCGCTAATCTCTCAGAGTCCTATCTTTTGAGCGGTGGGTTCACCCACCACTGTCAGTAAAACTAGTTTCTGGGTGTTTCATAAAGTAGGCTGAGCTGCTCTCGGACATGGATGAACAACACTATATTTTCTAAACACAACGGTAGTAAGTTCAACTTTCGGCATGATAACGTGCATCTCCTGCTTTGAATATGCCGGATAGCTGCAGGATCGTAGGGCTTTTTGACAATCACATATCATTGATATCGCAGGCGAACATTGTGAGATATATGTTGGAGGTCCATCGGAGGAGAGCCATCATCTATTCAAAAACATGTAGTGCATCATAACTAAAATCATGCGTATGCGTCACTCGTTCAGCTAGTTACAATTCCTCAGAGACAGTCTGGTCCTTCTTCTCAAGAGCGGCAAAGTCGGTGAAGCCGAGCTCGTATACGAGGCCAAGAGTCATCTTGGCGTGCTCGAGCATGTGGTCAAAAGACAAGTACTTGATATTGTCATCGGTGCTGTGAATATGCTTGTCAGAGTCCTCAAAAGCAGACTCGATGACAAAGGCGGAAGGGTAACCGGCCTTGCTCGCAGAAGCATGATCGGAGCAGGCATAGCCGCACTTTGTCTCGACGTAGGGAACCTTGCAGTACTATGGATATGTTAGCATAGGCTAGAAAACACCAAGGGTCATGCTGACTTGCCTCGACGATGACCTTCTTGATGAAACCGGTCAATCCGGGATCAACAAAATCGGTAATGACACCAACGCTTTCGGGCTTTCCAGCATCAAGCGTTCCTTGCACGAATCCGGTCATGTCCTGTTGGAGCATGGCCTTGATATCACGTCCATCCTGCTCGTAAGACGAAAAGATGGCCTGGCTACCCAGAAGGCCGCCCTCCTCGGCGCTGTACCAGTGGAACTCGATGGTGTTGTCAGCCTTGCCGGAGATGACATCCTTGGACTTGAGAAGGGTGCGGAAAGCCTCGAGAATGGTCATGGAGCCACTGCCATCATCATCGGCACCGGGTGCAGCAAGAATGGAAGGCAGCCACAAATTGATGGAGTCCTGGTGCGCACCGATGACGACGGTGCTGTTAGACTTGCCCGGAATGGTAACAATGATGGAGCTCTGTTGCCATGTGTGGGGGAATGCCTCGGCGTAGACGTGCTTATCGGCGCCGGCATCCTTGATGATAGTGTTGAGCTTAGCCAGAAGCCATTCGGAGGACTGGCGGCCGTAGTCAGACTTGAAGTAGCGGGTGTGGAAGCTTGTGAACTTCTCCAGATTGGTCTGAATCTCCTTCTTGTCAAGGTCCTTGATGAGAGGCTTGACCTTGTCCTGGAGGCGACACTTTTCGGGGAAGACGCTCTTGGTCTTCGAATGAAGGCGAGTTGCGCCGAGGTCCTTGTGGTCGGTGATATCGAAGAAGCGATTACCGTTCTACAGAACTCAAGTCAGAATGCGATATATAACAGCGGCGACGAGTGATACCATACCCTGCGAAGCTCCCACTTCTCCTCCTCAGTCACCCAGCGAGTGTTGCCTGGGGCGAGCTCAATTAGGTACTTCTCCGGCTCGGAGCCGGCGGGATACAGCTGGACACGGTTGATCTCCTCCTCGACAACGAAGCGAGCGCCGACCGAGTGGGCCAGCACAGCAAGAATCGAAGCTTTGGCGACCTTCATTTTGAATCGTATGGGAATGGTGATGGTTCAATCTGGGGATGATGCGGGAGGTAGGCGGGTGGACGTTGTTGAAGGGAAAGATGGCTGGCGTCATCTGGGCTACCTGGGGTAGGTACATAGTAGATTGACAGGTGCCTAGGTACGAATAGGTAGGATAGCTAAGCGTCAGCGGGTCTGCGACAGCTCGGGAAGGTCCCACGCATGCCCCGCGGGTTGCCTGGCCAAGCAGACGCCACCAATGCTTGCGAGCGGGTACCTTACCTACCTTACGGAAACCTACCTTGAGTATCCGTACGTGCCTCGGATGTCCGTCAGGCTCAATTGGATAACCTGACCCACTTCCTGGAGCTCTTCAGTTTTGGCGGTTTCTTCGTCTTCATGCACATCTTTAAGTCACCAACATTGCCTTACTGATTAGTGCCGCTGCAAAGCTTTATTTCTCTGCTCCATGAATCAATTCTGAAACAAAGCATTTACTGTGGAAAGTCGCAGCAACTGCAAGATCATGGTGCAAGTGAGGCTCAAATTTGGAATGAACTGACTGACAGCTCTGACCAGCAGGTTCCGGCTCGGCGAGCCAATCAACGCAGACTTCTGTCTTTTGATTACCCTGAGGTATCCGTACTTACTTACCTCTATACTTGGCTGTCACGTCAAGATTCTCTAGAACCCGCCAAAAAAGAAACATGCAACACCAGGCATTCACCGGTCGTCTCCGACCCGACTACTACTCTGGCCCTCGCTGGTTTATCTAGGAGAGAGCGGACGGGATCTCGAGTTCTCCAGTGGGTGTGGTCGCATGTGCTAGAATTGGCATCTGGGGAAGCCAATCCAAGATCGCACTGCCCGCACTTCTTGCCCATGGAGCGCGTCGGAGCGGGTCTTTGTGCTCCATAATGTTGCGGACTCGGCGCCTGGGTCTGTTTGAGGGTCGCCGGAGCTTCTGCATACTCTATAGTGTTTCGATTCTTCACCCACAGAATGCTAAGACAAGACCTCTAGCCCCCCTTTCTCTTTTATCCACGGCCCAGGGTTGAGCACAGCATGAGGTGGGCTAATCAGTACGAAGACGCCGTCACCCGTACATGGCGTTGTGCCGTCTGGGGCGCTTCGGTGCGAATCGGACACCGGCTACCGACTTACCTCTTTAAGCTCGTCTGAACACAACGTCTACCATGTGTGACAGCCGCTACAACATGGAGTCCTGTCCTTCAACATGAATAGGCGAACAGACGCCGGGCTTGGACCTTTCCTCATCCTCAGGCAGCCGATGATATCATGAGGGGAGCAACCGCATGTTCCCCAAGCGCATCCCCGCCGCGTGTATAAAGTGCTGGTTGCAGCCAGCGCACAGCTAGTGAGACTACCTGCATGTATCTTCCTGCATTCGTCCGACCTTGGGAGCCAAGTCAGATAGGTTCGCGATTTATCTCAATAACCTCCCCCGACCTAGCCATCTCACGCTCGTACCATCATTACACCAATCGAAGCTCAATCCGCACGATCGACTTCTGCCGACAAGATGGCGGGCTCCAAAACTGAAAAACCGAACTTTGACTTAATCAAGCGCGGTGTCAAAAAGTCCAATGTGCCGGGCACTCTCACCTTCCTTGGCCTACGCGGCCTCGACCCCTTCTTCCAATACAAGCTCGTCGCCGGCGGCTGGGGCGCCGCTGCCCTCGCCAAGATTGGCGTGAACACGATCCCTCTCAACGTTGCCGCCCTCTCCACGACGGGCATTGCCATCCTCGACGACCTCCACCTACCCCTCCCGCACCTCATTCTCCTGGGCATGTCCGTCGGCTCCTTCGTCAAGCAGGCCTACTGGCTCGTTGGCATCTCCGCCGAGGAGTTCCCGCCGGGCACCGCCGCCACCGTGAGCTTTTACAACTCCCTCGTCAACAGCGCAAACTCCCTCCTCATCCTCGCCGCGTCCACCTCCGTGCTCACATCCCCGCGCGACTTTCCCGGCACCGCTCTGCCGTACCAGGTCGTCCTCGGCAGCGTCCTCTACGGTGTCGGCATGTTCCTCGAGACCGCCTCCGAGTGGCAGCGCAAGCAGTTCAAGGCCAAGCCCGAGAACAAGGGCAAGGTCATGAGGGGCGGGCTCTGGAAGCTGGCGCGCCACATCAACTATGGCGGATACGCGTTGTGGAGAGCCGGATACTGCATGGTTGCATCTGGGTTTATCGGAGGTACTATTATGGGTGTGTGGCAGGCGGTGGATTTCCTCACGCGCGGAGTGCCGGCGCTGAATGAGTACTGCTCACAGCGATATGGTGAGCAGTGGGTTGACTTCAAGAGAGAGGTGCCCTGGGTTCTGCTTCCCGGTATCTACTAATTGTGCTAGACGGGATAATAATCATGTTTTTGGCACGCGCAATCGCTCTTGACCTGCTTGGAGCAGGTATGACCTGACCGCGACAACTGATGCGAATCCTGAATAAAGAAGCGTGTAATTGAAGTCAACTGAAAAAATATTTCTTGAACTCGGATGCTTTACATACAGAGACCTCTCGGTCGAGATGTGTGAATTTCCCGTAAATGCTGACTTGCCGTTGTATGTTACCAACCCAATGCTCTTGGAAAAGATGAAACAGTGCTCGAGAAAGAGACGATGCCTAACGCTACCCAGCCAACGGGCCAAATGGGTGAATGCTTCTCTCACGTAACGCTCGCTCACATGCTGTCCTCCATCTGCCGACTGCGGACCTTGGCCCAGTCGTCGCGCTCCTTCTTGCCGCCCTGCTGCTCCAGACCCATGCCGCGCTCAACCCACTCCTTGCTGCCCATGTGGCTCAGACGCGAGAGCGCCCGCGCAAACGCAAAGGCCTCCTCGTCGCCCGAGAACAGCCCCGACATGCCCTTGATCGAATCGATATTGTGGTCAAGGTCTTCCAGCAGATGCGCCGCCGCGTTGTCGCTCTGTCCAATCTCGTTCTTCTTTCCCTGCTTCTCAAGAGACTCTTCCAGCTCGGCGCGGGAGACGAATAGCTCGGTCAGGGGCTTCTCCGTCGTCAGGACCAGTTTCGCGTGTGACTCATAGACCGCGTCGATGAAGGTGATGAAGCGTCGAGCCAGATCACGCTGGCGGTAGGTCATTCCTGGGATATCGGTGATGACAAAAGCATCATAGTTGCGCACGAGCTCGAGGTAATCTGCCGCCGACGTCGCCTTGCCGATGAGCTCGTCAAAAGTGAACCAGGCGCAGCGGCCGCTCACGCGCGGCACGTGGATCTCGCGTCCCCAGACATTCTGCACCTCGGGATGCGGCTCCGGGTTTTCGGGGTCGCCGAGGAAACGGAACCACTTCTCGGCGTGGGACGTCGCATGCGCATCAAGCGGCGTGTGGTATACACCGGAAGGAGGTCTTGGGATCTTGCGATAGTCTGTCGGGGAGTCTAGGTTGATGACGTGGAGCCTGCTTTTCAGCAGCTTGATTGCCGGAACGAAGGACTCTCGCTGGATGCCGTTCTTGTAGAGTTCGTCGGGGTGCCGATTCGATGTCGTAACGAGTACGACGCCATGCGACATGAGCGCTTCGAGCAGTCTGACGACGCGTTAGTCGCCACTGTCCCCCACGCTTCGGGCCAAACTTCCACTTACCTTCTCAGAATCATGGCGTCTGCCACGTCCGTACACTGGAACTCGTCGTAACAGAGTACGTTGCCCTGCGCTGCGATCTGTGCCGCCACGAAAGGAACGGCATCGACGTCGTTACCGTGCTGCATCTTCATTTTGTGTAGCCGCTTGTGAACATCTTGCATGAAGTTGTGGAAGTGAATTCGCGTCTTGGTCCTGACGGAGCTCGGCAACGTGTCGTAGAACAGGTCCATGAGCATCGTCTTGCCACTACCAACGTCTCCAAAGAGGTATAGACCGCGGGGGAGGTTGCTCGGGATCGCTCCTATCGTAGCCTCGGCGGCCTTTCCTCCGCCAAACCATGATCCGAACATCGATTTCGCGGGCTTCAGGGACTCAAGAGTCGGTTGCTTCACTTCGGGCGCATGGTAGTTGACCAACTCGTCGTGGAGGTGTTGGAGGCTCTGGATGATACCTGTCCCGCGTCAGCATGTGATTCTCGCGATGGTGGCCCTGGAAGCGCAACTTGCCCCTCTGGTGCTCGTCGTTGCGCAAAATGCCGCTGTCGACTCGGCGGTCGTATTCTTGTATCGGGCCATGATTGTCTTTTGTGGCTGCCTCCCATTAGCCCCTGCGCCACCGTCATTTTTTTTTTGGTATTGCCGTTCTGTTCCTACCCCTGTTTCCCTCTGTTGCCGTCGCTACCGCCGATGCTGCCCTCTTCTGCCCTCCATTTCTGGTGTGTTGTGTGAGAATACTCGGCGAGGGGCGGAACCTTCTAGCGCTTGTATTGTTTCTGCTGGCTAGGCAAGTTGTGCATAAAGAGCGTCGAAGGGCGGCCTGCTTTGTGAGGCCTCGGGTTGTGGCGGCAGAACCGTTGAGCGATGCGCCAAGTCGGCGGAGGGGAAGTGAGTATGCAGCTGCACTGCGCATAGTGGCCAGTGGGAGGGGATCAAGGTTAACAAAAGTCAAAGTCTAGGGGTATCGACAAGAAAAATGCATGTTGCAAGCATGCGCGCGCTGAGATGATGTGCTGTGTCGGAACAAACCAAGCCGCTTTGGATGTCTTGTGCGATGTGGGAAATCAACAAAAGTAGGCTGGTCGTCCGGTAAAAGATACCAGAGAAAATGACGCTATTGCCTGCCGCCGCCGGCTCTCACAATTGGCGCCCGGATTGACACGGTGGAGAAGAGGCCTGTAAATTGACTGTGGAGGAGCCGAAAGATGCCGAACTCCGGACCATGCCGACTTCGGTCTGATCAATTGGATGGCTGCTGCTCACCACAGGTGAGGTTTATTCGGTGACACTCAGGCCATGATCTGACTCCGAGTTCATCTCTTTTGTCTGAGAAGTGGACGTGCACTCACTGAAAGGACTGAAAAGTATCTTCCCTAAGAGCTGTATATATCTTTACAATAGTATTCTTCCTGTTTGTCGGGTCTCTGCTCTGTGTTTTGAAATTACTGCTTCTGCCTTTTTTTTAAAAAAATAAAATAAAACAGGCAAGGCTCATATTATCCTTGACAACTTATGAAGCAGGTTCTGCGAAAGATATTGATAAGCACACAGAAAATGATTCATTCAACAGTTCTTCCTCTTTTAGTTTCTATACACACGTCCAACCAGGGATTTCAACGAGACACCGACTCTGCCCATGCACATTGTGGCATCTTAAGCCGGGTACAGAAAAGCCAAAGCTATCCTTGACCAAGTCTTGCTGGGGAAATATCGAAATACAAGAAGTGAGTAATGAACCAAGAAATCAGGCTGTTTCATGCCATTTGTGGCGCATCTCGCTTCTGGGGCAGGGCAGGTGGAAGCAGGCAATCCAAGCCTGCTTCCACATTTGTCTCCATTCCGTGTGCCAACAGAGCCGAGATGCCTGCCTGAAGCCCATGTCAGCTAATCATTTCTATGGACAAATAGCACTAGCTTTTGGATTTCCCACGAAACTATAGCTTGAGGAAATGCGCCCTTGCGGTTCTGACGTGGCTTGGTATTTCTGGGAACGCTTGTCTCAAGGAATTATTAGGGAGCGGGCCCAGGGCTCCTCGAACCATGTTATTTACCAAAGTGTCAAAAGGCAAGCAGTTTGAAATTTCATGATTCCTCAAAATCTATGTTCGTCTTTTTTCATACACAGCCATTGAAATGCTATCCGCCTAATTAGGCACAAGAAAACAGTAAATACAGGTACGCGTGGCAAGGTCAAGCTTTACAAACTCCAGGCTCTGAACTGGTGAGCTTGGAATTCACACAAACCCCCACTATCTTTCCAGCATACCTTTCTCTTCTATTCATTGAATCATAAGGAGGATATAGACAGAAATGGAAGACTTTATATTTCTACTGCTTCGTCCACTACTGTACCAGTCTGCGCAAGTCAAACTCGTTGAACACTCACACAATATTGCTCATACAGCACTATTTCCCCATTCCTTAATCTTTATTCAATCAAATTAAATTTTTAACGGTCTGCCTCTCTGAATGGCACGGCCGGGAATCGAAAAGGGGGCTACCAGGCTCGGACCCTGACAGTGGTATTCCAGACCGCTTCTAACAGCTCTTGCATCTCACGCACGCCCTTCAGATTAGGAGTCTCGCCGTCATTCATTGGGTCCCATGAAACCGCGAATATTCTTACGAGCGCACACGCAAGTGTGAGGAGCCCCGCAATCAAGAGCGGATGGGCAGTCTCGCCGATCTTGGTCGGTCAGGGGCGGGCAGCACAACATCGCGACGTTGTGCAACATCGCTAATGCAGCGGGAGGGGGGAGGGGTGATTTGCCATAAGCAATGGATTCGGATCCTTCTTTCTCATGGTGAGCAGAGAAGAGCATCTCTTGTACAGATTGCAGCTGGTTCTGGCTCGGAGTGGCCGGTGCCTAGAACAGGGAGGCTGTGGCTTGGGAAGCGGTCTGCCCGCCCCCAGCCAAGGTCTAGAAGTTTCTGGGCTTGTATGTCTCTACAATATCGGCAATTTTACAGAGTAATGCCTGAGTAGAGCTGTAGTAATTGAACGCCCGTATGTTTGAAGGCGGGATGGGCGGCCGTTGTTGCTTCTAGATGGGGAAACCTTCTAGGCCTGGAAGTAAGCCTTATTATCGCATGCTATAGTGTCAGATTCCAACAGCATACACAGCGACCGAGATCTAGAACACTACAAGAAGAGGGTAGTTGGCTGAGTCCAGACTCTCTTCAAATGTGCTGTGGCTCAATACCTGGTCTGAGTCTACCTCTGCGAAAGTTTACGACGCGATCCACGGCCAACTTCCTGCGCCTTTCATGGGCGTGCAGGACGCTGATCATAGTCTCAGTCACAAGATTCTTCTCAGAAAATCGTGAGAGGATTATGGGTTTCCATAGATCCAAGGCTACCGCCGTGACTACACTGTACTTGAGAAGGAGCTTGGGTCGCGTCAGCCCTCTGTAGACTGCAGGACCACAGGCAGTATCACACTAGCTGCTTTCGCTTCACCTCCCCCAGATACAACATACGTAGATACGTAGACGAGGTCTAACATTCAAAGGTCTGCTAGTAGCTGTTTGGCACGCAGTCCTTGGATACGGGAGCCTTTGGTCACTGCCATTGCCACCGGTAACGAGGGAGCCTCCTAGGAGCGATAGGTGGAAAACACAATATGCCATCAATCATCCCTCGATGCTCTCGTCTATCTCGTTGGGTTAGATCATTTATGTGCCAATTCCTTTCTCTCCTGGAATTCGGTGTGGAGAAGAAGGCGAGCATCAGCGATTTCGTGACGCATTCGATGCTGTTCGGGGGTCAGGCTCTCCGCCGCTCCGTAACATTTCTCGAGGCTGCCACGTGGGTATGTGATGGAAAGGATCTGTTTCTTGGCTTGATGAAAATTGCCGTAGCTCACAGCAGGGTAAAGAATCAAGTAAATCCAAGTGCCGCTGGGTGCTTCCAACACTGTCCATCTCACAACAAAACATACCATGTCTAGGTTGCTTGCTATGATCTTTTTGAGTCTTTAGCGTTAGGGAGCAATCCGTCTACTGTTCCTCTATTTGATCAACAAAATCCCTGTCTCCAGATACCAGGTAATCCGCGCTCACTGAGCTCCCACTCATCTTTAGGTACGCACGGATGAAGTGTCGCCCCTTGTTTTCGCTCCAATCTCCTTACTCTAAACAGTGTTCGTTGTTCTGCTAGAGACAGACTCATGGGGGAAGCGGCATTTCAGTAGTGTTCACTTCCTTGCTTATGTGTATGAACAAGTGGTTTGTCGTACGAGTGTTCATGGGCTTGTAATAATGCCACCAATCAGTCACTTGGCTCTCAGGATTTTGATCATTCAAGGGAGTCGCCGGACCTTGGGGACATAGTGCCAGATCAAGAAACTACGCTTCCGTCCAAACCGAAACCGCTTTAGCACCGACTTAGAGTCGTGCTTGGTACATCACACATCGAAGTACGGAAGCAAATCGTTACAGCGCGCGATGGTCAGCATTCCCGGGTTTGCCACTGTTCAGCGTCGATACCTCACAACAAGGCGTACTAAAAAATGTGAGAAAGATAATGGTTCTTGGCTGATGAATACGTTTCTACCTCTTGTCAGCGGCTGATTGAGGCCTCAGAAGCCCGAAGTCCGTGATGTGGGGAGAAACTTCCTACCCTGCCCGAAGATCACCTTCTCAGTCGATAAGCCGGGAGATTTTGTCTGCCAAATCTGTCAACACAGCCGGCTGACGCTCCGTAGTGAGTTCGAGGCAAGAGACCTGAACGAGGACCTCTCAGACAGTGTCCCTGCGATTTTGCCCTGCGGGCACATGGCAGGAGCTCAGTGTCTGGAGATATGGCTCCAAGATAACAAGAGCTGTCCATTTTGCCGTCAAGAGCTCATTTACAGAAATGCGGGCACCAAGTACAAACCCGTCATCTTTTCAGCCAAAATATAGCCCTTACGCCGAACACAATACCAGATGGAGGTAGCATACCAGAGCTATGTTATGAATGCTGCAAGGCTGCCATTTGGGTCTCTGCTGATGTGCGATGTCGAGCTTGCGAGCACAGGTTCGTGCAGGCAAGGAGCAGATACTTTATGTCTGAAAGCCAAGCAGACGCCATTATCTTGCTACATAGGAAAGTAGATTTTGAGAAGGTGATGCTGGAGGAGTTTTGGGAGAAGGCTATCACGGGTTGGCTTACCCGTTGGTAGAAGGGACTCTGAGGGGAGGGGGAGAATGCGCTGATTAGAGAGCCAACAGCCGAAGGCAGGTCTGATGGGCTGCGGACCAACGGAGTAGCTCCGATAACTGTCAACGGTCCAGTGGCTCTTGGACAAGACATGCGGTGAAAAGGGTCTCGGATAGCGCGCAATCGTGGCAATCGTGGCTCCCTGATGAAGGCTGGCGCCGAGACGTCTTCTCTCCAGATTTTCTTTTCTTGGGTCACCTGGCTTCGCATGCTAGGCATCCAGAACAGGTCAGAACAGGTCGCAACCGGTCTGGTCGTGACCCCGGCCCATGCTGTTGATGGCGAGGTCCGATACACATCTCCTTCGATATCATGCTCGCCGCCGGCAAAGAGAGGGCAATTTTGTATGAGTGAGGTTGTCGCCTACCTGGAGTTATCGACTCCGATGCTGACAGGTTGCGAAGCATTGCTGGATCGATGAGGGCCGGGGTGACGATCCGGAGGTGTGTTATAACAGTTGTCTTCAGGATATGGCATCCACAATAGCGATCACGCGTTGGCGGCATGGGCGGAGAGGAACGAATGCAGCAAAAGCAGGGCTACTGCATGAGCTCCGCAGCATCGGAACGCATCCGCGAGGCCGTCAGAGTGCCAAGACATTGCGGATGCACAGACACCACAGATCCAGGGCATTATCCGACGTTGACAAGGGCCCGCTGACCGGGGATCCAGTCCTCGGAGCGAGGTGCCGGCGGGGCGGAGAGGGAGGAGGCGAGACCATGGGCGAGAGCCTAGTGTATCGGTGCGAGAGGAGGGCTGGGGGCGAAAAACAAGAATTGGCACCCCGAATTCTGTATTCGCATCCGTAAAAATGACTGCAAAAGAATCTTGAGAGCTCACTAGCCACAATTGCGACTGGCGTGCCACAGGTTACGGCCGCTGATCATCCGCACGAGTGGATATGGCGTTTCTTATCCGTACACAGCCGTTTGTCGTCAAACCGATGGTGAAGAAGGAGAAAAACTAGGCAAGACTGGGCCCTTGCTGGGTTTCCGAGTTCAACCCGAGCCCGCGTGGCCCGGTCGACGGTCACGGTGCGTGAGGTAGGAGAAGAAAAGAAGACGGCTGGCTGGAAGTAGGTACGATTCTGGAAATAAGCAGTGGGTCCCGGACGTAGCTTCGGACACTTTGCTCATCGATTTGACGATCCTTAGCGCCGACCTTGCCCCTCTACCTTCCCGGTCAGCCTGGAAGCAAGCACAGGCAGGCCGCAGGCGCATGTTGATGCCCCGGAGCGAGCCCCCATTGTTTCCCAGAACTGCGACTCTGTGAGTGATCGTGAGGAAGGTGGGGCTGGGAGTACTTTGGGCATCCGTATAAGGTACCTAGTATATTGTGCCGATATGTAGCTATCTGTAGACTATACGAATGCATACCTTGGCACGCAGGGGTCAAAAACACCGCCGGCTTTCGTAAGCCCCCCGGAGCAAATTGTCCTTTTCACGCGTAAAAAAACAATATATATTTCTGAGATGTAACGAAAATACTGCAGCTTTTTCTCTATACCTATCCTTGATTAATACTGTAGGACGTTTAGGTCTGTTTGGGTGCTTCTTTGGCTGGTTGCTGATGTCCTACATAGGGAGCCTGACGACCGGCGGGTAGTTTGACCCCCGCGTGCTTGGGTTACATGGGGAAGGGTACCTTTACGTGCCACTACCCTAGGTACCTTGCCACGACTAACCCACATAGTAGCCTCGAGCCGCCTGGCGCTTGTCGGAAATCATATCTCGAGTCCTGGAGGTTGGTTGCTGGACCCTGGTACCCAGCTGAAGCCGTGGCGTGAGCGCCTCTGTCTTGCCGTGCTCTATCCACTTTTGTGACCTACCCGAACTCGATCGCTCCATCGAAACCTGCAGAAGACACCACGTTGGACCGGATGGGTGAGGCAAGACTAATACTAATGTAAGCAAGCACCAAGCACCTCATCGCAAGTCTTGCCTGCCGGCTTCAGCTCCGCTAAGCACTATCTAGCAAATCACGTCTAAGACAAGATGAAGACCCTGAGATACCGGCTCGGCGCCTTTTCCATCATCCTCAACATTGTTCGAGACGTTTGTTCAACAGCCGTGGCGACGGGCCTCAAACTGATCTAACGGCCTGACAGGTAGCATTTCTGCCCGCCTTGCGCCCTGCTCGCCTTCGTTGGCCAGGTCGAGACCCACCTCAGTTACGAGCCAGCTATTCTTGTCGTCATGGTCGACCATCACCGTTGTATCGTGACACCAAACGACATGCCCTGAATCCTCCAGTCGATCAGGCACAGCAAAAAATCCATGATTAGTGATGCCTGGGCGTAGAGACGTATCTGTTTTGCAATGCTATTCGTTGGCCGTTCCCACCTATCATCTCCTCGCGCATCGCCACCAATTTACCGACGACCTGCAAGCTAAAGAACGAGAGCGTGTTCAATCGACTTCCAGGTCGGCCTCTCTCGTGGTGTTTGCGCACACCTACCTTAACATCATAACAAAAGACCTACCCAAACCACCTGGATAGCCTTGCTCCCCGCCAGAGAATCACCATCTCCGCGGGACCTCCGACGTCTGGCACACTGCCCAATGACAAGTCCGTCAAGAATCTCGGCGTTATCTTCTGCTCTCGATTCTTCATCCCAACGTATGTCTTGCAGCACCCGGATATTATCTTCGAACCGTTCCGTCAACGGGAGGGGACTCGTCACTCACACCCCAAGAAGTGGGTAACCAGGTTGCTCAGCACATCACGTTGGACGATCTGTGGCTTGCTGCCAATGGCACGCCGGTATTCTTCCCCGTTCAAGCTTATCCTCTCAAGCGGCTGTTGAATAATTCGCATCTGTCGTTCCCCGTTGAAAGTCAGGCATCCCGCGCTGTCCTCAGACTTCGCCCCCGGTCCCAGCACACATGGGGGCGAAGGACGCTCCAGCCCGGCTAGGAAAAGCAAACAAGACGTCCAGGGCCGTCGCTGCCTTCGGCTACGGCATCCACGATGAACCCAGACTGGTACCGTTGCACTGGGACCAGCATCCCTCTAAAGTCCCAACGCCATGCTATGAGTGACGATCCCCAGTCCATATTGGAGCCCTTTTCTTCGAGGCACCGCGACAGCCGAAGAGCAAGCGCGCGCGCCTTACGGCATCATCGTGCACGGCTCAGAGGAGATATCACTGGCCAAGAACACTTAGGAACCGAGTCCATATTGCCAAGACCCTCTGTACTGGTGGCTTTCTAGCGTCCAAACCCCCAATTTTCGGTCGAACCTGTCGGTCAGGGTCCACCGACAGACGCGTGTTTTTGGGGTCACGGGTGGCTTTCCACATTAGGAGCTCGCTTGCTTCGGCTATGTCTCCCTCGGCGGTAGTCTTGAACTGCGAGAGCTCAACCCATCTGAGAGATCTTGTCAACGCTCCTTTGGCTAATCAACCCCACAGATGTATTTCTTGATCTCCGATGGCTCGTATTCCTCATGGCCAGACCAACACTCAACCTAGGAGTGCTATGTCCTACAGTTCCATCCATTGGCTGCGCAAAGACCAGCAAAACCTCACGGAAGTCAAGTATCGGGGATCCCGTTTGGTCGGCTGCATTGCCTCCTCATCATGCCTAGTGGCTTGGGGTCCGGCCTGGCCTCTTCCTGGACGATACCCCTACCACCTCAGCAGGAGACCTCACAATCCTTGCTATCCCCCTCTGTCGGACCAGTCTCGGCCAGGGCAAGTCATCCTCCACAAGTCCTTCAAATATGTTCAGGCTGTCTTTGATTTGCCGGCCCGTTGCGCTTTCTTTTACTGCAGCAATATGCCAGGCCTAGAAGCCCTTGGTGTGGCCTCGCCAGTTGATACTCTTGTTCACATCCCCTTATGCCCTCCCGATGAAACAAGCGTCAGCTAAGGCTCTCAAACCCCACAGTTTTTGCATATGATAGGTGCCCAACCTCCTAAGACATCTAGTTGACCTCCAGTCGGATGTTCCTTGAAGAGAATCCCCAGTCCCTATTCTGCCATCCACGATCACCATCATTTCCTTGGAAGGTAACAATTCCCTAAATTTCGAAAAAAGTGCGTCGTTTTCAACCCGCATAATAGCCAATGGAAGCGGTTAGTGACCTCTCGGTTCCAAAAGAGCTCGACATTGAGCTCGACGTGGGCAACTTCTCCTCCAGCCGAGGGACAACTTACCAACCCTTTCATCGTAGGAAAAAGAGAGGAATCGCATTCGGGATAATCAGCGCCGTTCGAGGGCTCGAAAGAAAGAGTACGTTCAAGAGATTGAACAACGTCTTCGGCAATGCCAACTCCAAGGAATCGAGGCTTCTGCGGAAGTGCAGCAGGCGGCGCGCCGAGTTGCAGAGGAGAACCACAAGCTTCGGCAACTTCTTCATCATCTGGGCTGGGGTGACGAGCAAATTGAACAGTACATACACACCGGCAAATTTGGTTCTCCAAGTCACCGTGGCCTACATACTCTAAACACAAGCGGCAGCTTGATCCCCGAGAAAGCGACAGAAATATTGGAAGGCCTTCTGATTCCACGGCGGCCACCCTGCCTCGATATCCAGATGCCAACTCTACCACCAAGCAGACAGACCAGTCCGGACCGGACTCTTTCATACGGTCCTACGCCAGACTCACCGACCGAGGAATATGGCTCTCCATCAGAATCTGTCCATCAAGTTCATGGCTCGGCGGTCGTTTCACCAACAGACTTTGGCCCTCGACAGGCCTACGCTCAAGCCGGAGACATGAAAAACCGAGATTACACAAGCCATCACCACCGCCCACAAACGGTCGAGTGGGCAAATACCCACCAAAATCAGTCTACCCATGGTATGTCATTAAATGTTCAGGGATTCGGGACGAATCAAACACTCGATTATCATCCGCCATTCCCGGAAGCCGATCCTTCAGCAGGCATGCTGCCTTCGCCCTCCATGCCGTACACCTCGTACCAGAATATTCACCACCAGCCGCCGGCGTTCATCGAAGCTACCACTGGTCACACTGGGCATATCTCCGTTGCCGACATGGATTCCACCATGGAAGATCGCAAAGCGCAGTACAGAGGAAACCCAGACGACCACCCTTGGTCATCCTCAGACCCCTTTGCCAGATCGCAGTACAATACGCGACACAACTGAAGCAGATTTAAGACTTCTTTTGGGTTCTCAATGCAATTGTAGACCCTTCTAAACCACACTTTCGATCGCGACGACGAAGCCAAAAAAACGGGTTGAATCGACAATGGGCAATGCTTAACTCCAAGTCAACCACGAAGACTAAGCCCCATTGGAAATCTATTGATAGGATCGCTCAGTGGTTTTGAAAACCAACCCGCTGTGCCTCCTTACTTCTTTTGGGGTTTGTACATGGATTGTTATGCTTCTGTACACAATCGACCACAGCCGAGGTTGGTCAAAGGAAATCAATCTATTGTGCTCTACCCATGTCAAGGAGACTAATGGGAAGGACACAGAGCACAAAGGCAACCAAGGCTTGCGAGAACGTAGCCTTTGGCAGGTGCTGAAAACGTTAGATTCTCTGGGATTGAGACCGAGGACGTTCACCTCTGCGCAATGTGCTTTGTGCGAAAGATGCGCATAGAGTGGGTTGAGAAGTGGCGTGCCGGCGACCCGTTGAGCCAGTCTTTTGCCGTCCAAGAAATGCCAATGCTCTCGTCAAAGAGCTCACCGGACACAACATTGAGGGATTGATAAGAATTGTCTTTAATGAATCTAATGCCCACGGTGACCACTGGCTAATTTTCTCTTCTTTTCGACTAAGATCAATTCTGTGTGTCTACCCGACGAATGTTCAGCAGCACCTTGCCCCAGTTTGCTTCCCTCCAAAAATTTTAGGTTATTCGAAAATCAGATGTCAGAACGTTGCACTGTGGACAGAATGAATTCGATGGCAATATTGGCCACATCACAACGAATCGAGTTCGAGAGATGTCTTGCGGAAATCACAGCGCGCAACGGGGGTCACAATTCCGACGTTATAGAAGTTCTGCAACGTCTTGCTAGTGAAGCCGAAGACGCCAGCCGCATTTTGTTGGGCGTGCAGGGAGGGGACAGTGGGGGAGCATCTGATACTTTGCATCGTATGCTAGAACAGCAGATCCTGTTGATCACGACACAGCTCCAGGAGGTCCAGGAGAAGGCCAAGAAATCATTGCTACCAACGCCGACGTCTATTCCGCCGCCGCCGCAAGGACACAAACAGAAACAGAAGCGCCAGTACTGGTCATATCCATCACCACGACCTGCTAGAACGCCGAATTGGATCCCACCATCAAGTCGTCAACCCTCCGTATCTAAGCGGTCTACTAGTCCTGTGCCGAGTAATACGACGGACCAGTCGAACCCATCTAAAATTCAAAAGCCTCCAAGCCATGAGATTAAGGGATTCCCTCCTCGGATAGCAAAGAAGGTGCGTCAAGCTACCCGGGCTTCGACCCCACGCCGGCGCACGTCAGGACACACGGGACGGAAATCTCATGAGGCACTAGACGAACAGCCTGAGGAGGTCCGTTGCGGTCAAGCAAGTGTAATATCTCCTAAATGGAGCAGGTTCAAGCCATGGCTCACCGCGGACCATAAGTACTCGCGTCCAGCACTCGAACCTATATTTTTCAAAGAAGACCAGGACCCTTCGGCCCCTCGGAAACCGGGAGATGTGAGCGGTGCGATACACCTCCGCAGACAGCTGGATAAGCATGAGGCTAGATTGGAGGCGGCGAACGTGGATAAGTGGATGAAGGATCTCAAGTATGAAACAGAAAGCGAGGATAAGGGCGAGGTAGAGGGCGAAGGGGAAGGGGAACGCGGCAAGAAGAGGCCTGGGGACAACGACTTGTCCCAGCCAACTGCCAAGAAATCCCGGTCTGAGCTTCTTCGCGGCGTGCAGGGTGGTGGAGGAGGACGGATAAAGAGGTTCATCAACTCAATGAACCCCTTTCGGAGCAGAGAGCCCAAGGATCCAGATGGCGGAAACACCGCCCCCATCACTTCCCCGAGCAGGGAAGACTGGCCAGAGCTAGTAGAGTGTGTCATCTTCGAGTACGCTTTGAAGCCGAGAGACACGTTTGGCAGCGGAGAGGAGGACTTGAGGGCCTTGCACTACCGTGACGCCATTGCGGAGCTCATTCGGCTGGTCGAGCAGGCGCCGCACGCGATCACGGCCAAGGATCTCCCCACGCGCAAGTACCAGACCAAGAAGTTCCAGGAGCTTAAGGCAGTGTTGAGCAAGATCTGGACCACCGCCCTTTCGAAAAGAAGAATCCACAAGAAGCTCGCGCAGCTCCAGAACGAAATAGAGGCGATTGAAAAGGGATCTTCCCTGCTGAGGGGGAGGGCCAAGACGGGGCGTCTGATGGAGGCGAGCCAGGAGACGGCACATCTATACGAGCTCCTGGATAAGCAAGGCGATCTCAACGACAAAATATTCGTCTTTGGCGAAGAGGGCGCACAAGTCATGGCCGACTGGCTCGTGGAGACGAAGAAGCGTGTACACTTGGAGCTGGAGTTTGGGGGGAGATCGCAGATTAAGCCGAGGAATTTCAAGATTGCTCACGACGGTCGGAGGTATGGAGAAGTGTGAATCGATTGACGGCTTCCAAGGCCGGGAAGAGAAGGAAACTAGGTATACTGGAGACAGTGTGCGTCGCGTCAAGGAGTGCAGACTGCATACGGGTCACAGTAATAGTTGGCCTGTGGAATATCGTTAGAAATTGCATTGTTCGTGCCGAGGCTTCAAACTCCAGTGGCGCTTATCCAACCTATCCCGTACATGTAAAGATGAGGAGGAGGAACACGCAGTGCGCCCAATACCGTTCACCATTCCGTTGTCTTTTTTCGCCATTTTCAAATTAAAATATTTGTGCCGTTTAAACAATAAAACGCTTGGTATCGTCAGAATATCTCGCCTGGAGGCCCAGTCTGACTACAAGAAGTAGTCCGCCACGGGCTTCTTCGCCGGCATTCCCCTAGAATCCTGCGGCGCGGCTTGGAACACACGGTACCTCCTCGCGGGCCCGGGAAGGAGAACTTGATCATCGGTGCCCCGAATGTTGCCGTCACTGCGCCCCCTTTCACCGTTGCTGCGCGCAAACACGCCTGTGCCAGAATTATCCTCCGCCAGCTCGAGTATCGCTGCTACGTTGCCGCAGCGGTAGCAGTAATTCGGCGCTGACCACACCGTAACGATGCTGGCATCGAACATCTCCTTGAAACCCTCCATGACCAGCTGATGAGCGCGCGCAATGAGCGACAGGTCGTTCTTGTGGTTGAAGTCACGAACGATATCGGCGCCGAACAAGAAGCCTGCGCCACGCGGCGACAGACCCCAGCCGTCGATCTCGTCCGGGTCGGACCAGAGCAGATCGCACATGGCTCCCTCGTGAGGAACTTCTTGCTTTCTGTCTAAGAGACGGATCTTGTCTACACTGTCAATCAACGGGGACAGACCACCGTGAACACAGAGAATTGCTCCGGCAGGGTTGCCCAGGGATCCTGAAGAGCTTCCCGATGCACCGCTACCTGGGGGACCTGTCTTGTCGTCGCCGCCGGACGAGGGTGCGCCGTTGGGGCTATTCGTGGGTTGCCGTTGTGGCCGTCTCTGTCGGGGAAAGCGGCTCATAGTTGAACCGCTCTGATCGCAGACCTCAATCTCGACATCTTCGTCGATAGCTTCCTGTCCTGGGGTGGAGTTGAAGGTGTGTGATGCGCCGAGAACGATCGCACCGAGAGCGAGATAGTCAAATACGTCGCAGCAGTACCGCCAGACGTTGGCGGAGCCATACTTTCTCAGGCATTCGTCATAGAAACCGTAGACGGTGGTGATTTGGCGGGATTCGTGATTGCCTCTGATGAGGGTCATGCGATCAGGGTAGCGGACTTTGAGACAGAGAAGAAGGAGGAAGGACTCGAGGGAATAGAAGCCGCGGTCGACGAAGTCACCTGTACCAAGAAAGCTGTCAGCATGTACGAAGGTGCGGTGAACCAGCGAAAGGTCATGACGGCATACCCATGAAGAGGTAGTTGGTATCGGGAACATCGCCGCCTACACGGAAGAGCTCCATGAGGTCGTGGAACTGGCCGTGAATATCGCCACATATCTGATCCCATGTCAGCGTTTACTCGGCCGCACCTGTAATTGGAGACCTCATCGTACCGTGACGGGAGCCGTGACTGTGACAACATTTCCTTCCTCAATGAGCAGCTCGCGCGCCTTGTGGCATAGCTCTCGGACTTGCGCTTCGGGTATCGGTCGACAGGCGCGCAGTTGCGCGATAGCTCTATGCCATGTGTGAGCGTCTTTCTGCCATATACAGTTGGCACTCACCGGTATACTCACTTGTCGAGATCGCTCATTGCGGAATCTGAGAAGGGTTCCCTGGTCTGGGTCGCGGCGCCCGAGGCCGAGGACTCGCGGTATCGAGTTGGAAATGATAGTATTGTTCTACTTTATAGCATGTCGCGCAAGGTATTTCATTCGTGAGCAGCGCGGTCGACCGCAGCTACTTCGTCTTATGAACGCGGACTGAGCACTTGTGCGCGATCAAGACTTCGAGGATGGGATGGCGTCAGGAGTGTTCAAAGACGTGCATGGTTGATTGCCCGTTAGCGGTCACTGGTCGTCCACGAACCCCCAATTCGAACTTCCAATCGCGCCGGGATCTGCAAAGCGGATAGATGGTCAGTGCGTGACATGTGGGTTCCTGTTGGTGTGCATTCGGGGAATAGACCAGGCTCCAGCTCGGATCTTTAGTTGTTGCGATGACCGAAGACAAGATCCTCAGGCATGTATCAACCGTTGGTTGGCATGTCACGTCGCCCAGTATGGTCCCACTCCGGGCCGCCGGAATCCAATCAGGAGGCCTGCATATTAATTCGGTACATTAAGCTTCATTGCAGGTTTGCGAAGTAACCCACTCGTTGGCCTTCGTCGCTGCGCATCTTAAGCCTTCATCACAGGACCGCCTTCGGACCCGTCAACCTGTCGCGCAAGCATGGTGCTGTCATAGGTGAGAAACTCTGCTCAATTGGGCTTTTCCGATTCGTTCCGAGTTCGCTAACGCCCAATGGCATGCGGAAGATCGAAGCCTCCTTTTCTAAACACCAAAAAAAACACGCGATCATGCCACCGCACCCCCTCCACCCGCGGTCACGCATGACCTCTTCTCTCTTCGCAACCACGGTTGTCGCAAGCTTCTTCGTGGTTGGCATGCCACATCTGCTGCCATGCCCCGCGCCGAGAGTCACGTACGCCGACGGGGAGATTGTGGTTGGCGAGGACGGCCGGCGAAGGAGGCGCCGTCGTCGCGACGCAGCCCCAGAAATCAAGGACGGTGTGGTCAGCTTCAATCAAGTGGGTGACGAGGAAACGATACGAGCAAGAGAAGAGCGACTGAGGAGGGAGTGCCCTGTACCGAAACCAGGTGGCATTCTGGGTGAGTGGTTGGGATTCCACGGGCCGAGCAAAGCGGATGACAGCAGAGCGGAGAGGTGACGACAACAGATGAACATATGTACAACTCAAAGATACCATTTTCCATCAACTATGTGGTCCCAACGGCATTGGATATGTGATGACGATAGACGACTTACTACACGGAAGATGGCCGATGTGACGAACAAGGAATCATTCGGCTAAACCCGGAGGAAACGGCAGAGAACACCCCTTAAGCCACAACTCACACCATTGTCCATCGTGAAGGGCTGGGAATAAAATTCGCATTGGTGTAGAATGGAAGTCACCAATCTGATATCCCTCGAGGCCGCCGGGTTCCAAAAGGCCCTTGCTCGAGCAACACAACACGGGCCTACACATTGATGCCTCAGTTCTTGCCTCAAGTGGCGGTCTCGACGATAGCCTCGACCTTTCAGCTCTCGACCCCAGGGATACAACAGTGTAATGTCAGCTGCCTAGCCTTCGAAAAACACTAGTTGACGACAGGGGCCCCAAGTGCCTGGACTCTCTTGGGCTGTGTCGAGACCGGTGATGGCAGAAGGCTTCACGATGCACAGGCTCAAAAAAACCTGCTCTCCATATATGCAGTCGCCGTATGACCAATTTTCAATCATTTCTTGCTTTCCAGCTTATCATGGGGGATGTTTCATGACCCAAGTGGTTATTGAGGCTCAGGATCACGCACGCAATAATACGCTTTTGACTACAGTACTCGAGGGGCCTGTTGGCCGGGGCTTGCCAAGTCTAAACAAGTAGTCGTCTAAAAAAAAAAAAAAAGGTTATTTTGGACCAAGTATCCTTGAAATGTAGGTGCAGTTCGCCGTCGCAGAGTTACATCAGCTTCATCCTTGCAAGCTCTGAGCCTAAACGGCTGGGGGTGGCCAGGCAAGTCGCCTTGGTGACAGCTTGAGAGCCTTTCGCTTGAGGATTTTGACCACAAGAAGCCGAAAGTATCTTGAGCACTTGGAAACTTTTGCATGGCTGATTCCTCCGAGCCAGCGGGAGGGATGATTCTCAAGATCGCCGCTCATCTTCAAGCTTGAGTTCTGTTTCCCAGTAAAGTTCTCATACCCCGATTTGACTCATGAACTGCCGTGAGCTCATTGCGCATGATCTTCCGAATATTTTCACATAGGATTCGCCTAGCCTCTACATTGAGGCAATGCCTGCGTCGCTAGGGCATAAAGCTCGAATATTTACCCCGGCTTTCTCATGTTCCGTTCACGGCCGGGCGATCGTGGGGATGAGACATCGGAAGAGACTCAGGCAGTGATCCGTGCTGCTAGGTCACATCCTTGTTTCCAGCCCGCAACCTTAACACCCGCTTACAGCATCTGACGCAAGGAGCCCGTGATGGACGCCTTGGCGCAGAGGGTGCGGGTCACTTTTTGGTCATTCTGTCTAGAAAAGCACACGAAAGACCAAGCCTCACAATACTTGGAAAGAATACCAAGGTTTTCCTTTAGCTTGTCAGCGGGGCGGAGGTGTACCGCATGGACGGCTTGCGGTCTGATCACGGAGACGCCAAAAAACGGCTCAGATCAGCCGAAACAGCCGGAGGACGCCTGGAGTCTTGGGGCATTCAGCATGGCAGTTTAAAGTTGGGGTGATGAGTTCCATCTGCTCTCTACCGGGGTACGACTGAGACCGGCTTCAGCACACCCATCGTATGCCGGTCATCGACTGTGTACTTTGGAAGGTAGATGCCACCAACCGCTGGCTTCATGTTGTTACGCAACTGACAATCCCGGATGGCATCTGTATCATGGGCCTTGATAGATGCCATCTGATCAGTAGAAGGTCTGGGCTGGGGGCGCCAGCCCAACATCCGGGCCTGGTCCACATAACGACTTATGCTTAATGACCTTTCGGGAGGTTGGAAAGTTAAATAGACTCTACTCTCCCGAACGAGCTACGTTTTGTTACTTCTCCCTTCTCTTAGGACAGTGTTTTGCTTCAAAGTTTCAATTCTATTTTTCAAAGAGCTGCGCTCTGTTTCCGTTCATTCTCAATTTCTTTGTCATTCCTTGATACCCAATGTGAGTTCTCTCGCTCTTAACTGTATGGGAGCGCAAGCTGACGAAAATTTCAAGTTTATACCTTTTTGCCTTCACGATACTTATTCCAAAATGAAGTCCTCCATGATCCTTCTTATTGCTACCGGCCTGGTGTCGGGTCTGAGCATCCCTAAGCAGCTGGACACCCGCCAGGCCGTCGTCCAGGCCCCAGCTGCTGCCCCCGCCGCCGCACCCGCCACTGCTCCTGCCCTAACGCCCGCTGCTCCGGTTCCTGCTGCCCCCGCTGCTGCACCACCTGCTGCCGCTTCCCCCGCCGAGGGCGCTGACACTGCTGCCGGGGATGCGAAGAAGAAGGCCGCCGAAGATGCCGCCGAGAAGGCTGCAGAGGATGCTGCAAAGAAGGCGCAGAATGATGCTGCCAAGCAGGCAGAGAACAAGCAGAAGGAAGCCGCCAAGGAGGCCGCCAAGCAGGCCGGGAAGGCTATGCAGGACTACCAGAAGAGCAATAATAACGACAACAAGGGGAACAACCGCAACAACAACAAGAACAACAAGAACAACAAGAATAACAACAATAACAACAATAACAATAATAACAATAATGACAACAACAACGCCAACGCCCTTTTGCTTCAGAACATCCAACTCCTCCTCGCCGCTATGAACTTACAGAACGTCAACGTCCAGGCTCTCGCTCAGCTCCAGGCGCAGCAGCAGCTTGTGATGCTCGCTCAGCTTCAGCAACTCGCCCAGCTCAACGCTGTGGGCCTCATCAACCAGGTTCAGGTCGTTGCTCTCATGCAACAGGGTCTCGTCCTTGGTGGCGTCCAGCTCGGCGGCGTCCAGGTTGTCAAGATTCAGTGAACTCATTCCAGAATTCAGGGATTGGCCTGCAGGGATGTTAGTGCGATGTAATCGATACACCATCGGGCTCAGATAATGGCCAATCGTCGGTGTTCAGCACCGGGGGCGCCACTATATTGTAGATGTCTCATGCGTGAGCAGGTGCAAGGGAACCCGCGCCGCGTGACCGGCTGGCTTGACATCCAAACTGGGCCGTCTCGCCTGGAACTAGAGATGACACTGGTAGCCCTGCTTGATTTCCTCACTGCTGGGACAAAAGGGGGGTGGGAATGGGTTACGGTGCAAAATTCAACAACTCTTGTTTAATCAAATACGTTCAGTATTTTTTATATTATGAACATGCAACCTGCCACAAGCTTCGAGTTTCACTTCTAATTTGATGCGTTGTCACAAACTTTGCTGATTTCGTGAGGGGTTCGTCTTTCAGGCGGGGGGTGGTGTCCTTGTTTAAACGCCAAAATTTTGACAGCAGCTTGACTTAAGCTTATAATTCGCGAGTCTTACTTGCAAAGACCTACCCTGGACTCAACACTGATGATCCCAAACAGAGCCACTCAACTGGGATGACTGGCTTTTTTTTTTTAACTCATTTGCGTCTATGTAACTTGGCCAAACAGCATTTAGCCTCTACACGGAGAAGGACTTCGCTGCGAAGGGATTAGTCAAGTTACAGACTGACATCTGAGTCTGTCCACCGCCTCACTTTGGCTGCCGCATCACAATTTGACAGCAGTTACGGTATTGAGATGCGCTCGTCAAACGCAAATCCAACCCTCCTCTTCCCGGAAGCGCTGGACATCCGGAATGCGGGGGAGAACGTCCAAAGGAACAACAGGGTGACGCTTGCAATCCTGTCCCGCCTTTGTCAATGCCGTGGAAGGAAGATGCCTCATCGACGAAAACCTGCGACACTTGGAGGGGTTCGGGGGTTGTAAGCCGAACAGGGGGATCCGATGAGGGTTGTGGGATGCATGATGATACTGATAACAAGAAGAACAGTTGCACTCTGCGCCCGGGCCGCTTGTCACGGACGCTAGAGATGCTGACTTGCTGGAAGAGGAGAATTGCGGGGCTAACGTCATCCAATGAAAGCTTTGTACTATGCTGCAGGGGCCATCGAACGGTCCGAGGCTGAAGGACGTCCCCCCACCGACACGGGTTTAAACAGCCACTAAACCTTAGTTGAGCCGCTCCGACGTCAACACCAAGATGCTCCTCTCTCGATTGTTTGTGTTGAGTCGTTGTCACGACTGCACCAATCACCACACTAACTGCTTCCCCCACAACGCGGTAGCCAATGGCCCTCTGGCCCAATGCAGCGCCGGCGAGAGCTGGATCCTCATACGATAACCCAAACCCAACTTTATCCCGTCTTGAGCCGTCAGAGACCCCAGCAGCCCAGCTTCAGGATGCTCCAACGCACCTGTCATCACCCAATCAAGACCCCCTCCATCACAATTTTGAAGGTCTTCGGATGACACTCCTGCCATCGCAGCGACGTACCAAGTCGCTGCATCTGGCTGGCATCACCCCCCTTTACACTGTCGTTGTCTTCCGGCTCCGTCGCACTATCGACGGATATCCCAACACCGCCTTCACAAACCCTGTGATCAAACCAGGTATTCACCGCTCATTCCCATCATCAGATCCTACGAAGTAGCTCTCGGTTCCCTGTGTAAATCTCATAGCCTGTTCCAGTTTCGTTCCCTCGCATGGTCCACGGGAAGACGCTGGAAGGCCCATATGCCGGCTTGGCGATGGCTCGGATGATTTTTTCGCACCATCAATCCGTCGGCCGAATAGCTGCGGAATCCTTCAAGTAAGGTTACTTGGGCATGCGTGGCTTGGCCCACGGCGCCCTGACCTTGGATTGCTTTCTAATGTCGACTTTGATTAATCGCTCTCGTCTGAATCAACCTATCATCAGGTGCATACATCTGTTCACTATGACTGTTTATATCATAACAATAACCTACAGAGACTGCAAATTGAACTCAAGGGCCCATGAGGCAAATCTGAACGCGCTTATGTTACGAGATTACTCTCTTGGTCTATGCGGTGCTCTGCTTGGACTCTCACCCATTCCAAAAGAGGTCGCTAGATCGAGCCAAGGGTCACATCGCTCCTGCCATCCGACTGAACGTCCTCTTTCCCATGATATACGCGTCCATTATGACCCCTAGTTTCGATGCCCCTGTCAAGCTGTTTGATCCAACATTATTCCATACCAACGACATTGAGACTCTGATACGCGCCGGATCATTCGCTCACGACCCTTCCGAGCGCAAATCGTACCTTAACTCACCTTGGCCATGACTCGAACTCCTCATGCCTTGCTGGGGAGCTCAGATGTCGACATAAATCACTCTTTGCTACTGATATCTTGGCTACTATCTTACCTACATATAAGACATGTCCTGCAGCGGGCCGCAAACATTACCTCATACCCCTACACCCACACGCATACAATTCAATCATCCATCACGATATCAATCATTCCCTTCAATCATTCTCTTCAGAGGTGAGTCTCATCTAAAGACAAGGTGAAAATGCGCCCCACTAACTCGCGATTAGCTGTGCTCCTTCTCTTCACTCCTTTCCGTTCGTTCACAATACAAACCACTCTTTAAAAGACATCTAGAGCTGTGCTCTCTTCATACATAATACCTCTTTAATCAACCCAAATACATCTCAACCAAATCATTCCAAATGCGCTTCTCGACCGTCATCCTCTCAACTCTTGCCGCCTTTGCCACCGCAGCACCCACCGGCACCATCGACTCAGTGGAACCCCGCCAGAACAACAAGAACAACATCGACATCGGAAGCCTCAACAACCTCCAAGGCTTCCGCAACCTCGACCTCAACTACCTCCTCGCCCTCAACAACCTCAACCTTCAGGGCCTCGGCCAGCTGGGGCAGGTCAACAGCCTTAACCTGGGCGCCTTCCAGAACCTCTTCGCCGCTCAAAACTTTGACCTCAACGCTCTTCTGCAGCTCCAGCAGCTCTCCACCGTGTTGGCAATCCAGCAGCAGGGGCTCTTTGGCAACGTTGACCTAGCGCAGCTGAACCTCGGCGGTCTGAACTTGGGCCTCATCGGGGGCATCGGACAGGTCAACCTGGGTCAGTTTATTGACCAGGGATTGGTCGGCCAGATCAGTCAAGTCGTTCAGCAGTCTTCTGGTAGGTTGCCCTGAAACTCGAAAGTCTGGGGTTTTGATACTGATAATGGCTTTTCTTGCAGTCCTTGTCATTGGTAAATAAATCCTCTCTCTACACCTGTCTACATAGGATAAGGCGGAGCAAGGCACAAGCATGGAAGGATGAAGATCATTATCCTTAGAAAATGGCGTTTGAACTCTTCTTCTTAATGAATGACACAATATATTTGATTGAATCTACAAAGCAGGTGCATGGTGTAAATAGAAACTAGAATCAAGATGGCATGTGTGAATATAGGTACCGACGCAAAGCGATAGTGAAGAACCTTCAACCCAGTCCACTTTGGCTTTGCAAGTAGTTTGACTTAGATTTTGGCATACAGTGGTCAGAGCAGTCATAAATTAGCCGCGACGTCTGGTGTTTGGTTCAACTCATATAACCAAACCAACAATCCCCAGACTTAGTAGGTGATATTGAAGAACGGGAGTTGCAACCCAAGTCTCCACTCGATATGCCAAGAGCTACAGGTGAGGCTCAAGCTTTGTCAACCATATACACTCAGAATTCACAAAAATGTATGGAATTAGCCAAACATAAAATCACTTTCATCTAGGTTTTGAAGATCGTGCAATCTAAATATCCTGGGGATTTGGTTGATAATGACGCTTCTCCAAATGGGAAAACTTTTGTGTTCATCTTCGTTCAACTTGCTTAGGCTACAATCATTGAAGTTTACAGATACAGATGACGTTTCTACTAGGCATGTACATATAATGTGGGTAGTGCTTTAATTTCTACCTACGGTTTGACATACCTCACGATGCACAGCAATCCTTCGAAAGTTATAATGTCACCTTCTGTACCATCCTCCGCGGATTCTTGGAGACTCACTAGGCAAATAAAACTTTGCCGTCACAGACGCATCTCCGCACTTGTATTCTTAGAGTTCCTACCTCATCTGAAGCATGATGCCATGGCAAGCAGACGGTGCAGACGGTATAGACGCGAGCGTAAGAAAGCAGAGATCGGCTGGGCAAACAAAGATGGGAACGCTTTGAATTAGGACTTGATACCAAGAGGACGAGGGCTAGGATTCAATAACCCCCCTTTGTTCGTAATAGCCATCGCTTCTTACTCAAAGGAGGCTGCCATCACTTAAATTTGCCCCCCGCCCCCCGCCCCCCGTGTTAAATGTTCAAACTATTGTCGATGCGGGTTACTGTGGCGTCGACAATAACCGTATCACCAGGCCTCTTCTTAACGACGTCAACAAGTATACTGCTCCATCACTCCGTTGTCACTGACTCTACAAGTCGACACTGGGTGGGTTATCCAAACACGAAGCATATCCTAGTTGCTCAATTCCACAAGTGATCACCCAACGGCTTGGCCTGTATAAAATGAAAGCCCCGAATCTACCACCTCCTCAAGAGTCGAGATCGCGAGTGGCATGTCCCACGGACGAGAGATTGGACGTAAAACTCCAATCACACCGGCAAAATCTGGCTCTGAATCTGTCGTTTTGTGGACATTGACGGCCAAGGTAGTGCGGAACCCAAACGCCAAGAGCTGCTACTCACCAACAATGTATCACCATACTATCCTCGTCATAACCTTGCTTGTACTCTCTTTGCACACACGATCGGATAAAAAGGCAGTGAAAGCTCTGTTGTTGCTTGAGGTGCGTTCGACCCCGCGATGTCTGCGTGGCACGCGTGACAATCCTAGTCCTCTCGAGAAACACCACAGCATCATTCGCCAGCTTGTGGCACCAGTCCATTCTACAGGGTATATGGAGTTGCCCTCCTCGAAGGAAAATTTCAACACAGCTTTCATCACCGCGCCCTAGGTTCTGCCTGGTTGTGCTCTCTTCCAACATTGGCTATTACAATTTGTTTGTCATTGAGGAGCACGTGGAATGTCTGTACGCGCGCACCTCGATATTGTAAATTTTGCGCATGATCTGATTCGTACCACAATTCCACAAGCACACATCCTGACAAATGGAACACCTCTCCAGAATTTGTTGCACCAATCACTAGCATTCTTCCCCAGTGGAAACCTGCACGGAGAGCCGGAGCTGGCCGACCTGCATATGTGGAGAGACGGGAAGTGAAAAGTCCATCCAATATGGGATCTTGGCGGAGCCCCCGATAACATCTCTCATTACCTTGCGACTGCCGATCTTGTATGAATTTTTTTTTGTGGAATCATACGAACTGGAGGTCCGTCAATCCAGGAGAACCGAATCGGAGGGAGATTGTAAGACAAGCGGGTGGAAGCGTTTTCCCGATGCTCGGCGTTTTGGAGACGGTTGCCTCTCGCCGGAATACGAAATGCATTGGCATCTTGGCAAGCCCCGTTGCGGAGACAAGCAAACTAAAAGAGGAAAGGAAAAAAAAGCAACTGTAGTGGCTGAGACGAGGTCGTTGCTGCGGGAATCGACCTATTCGGCCCCTTCTTTCGACGCTTCTGATGCGGTCGCCATTTATGGCAGGCCCGCCAAGTCAGATTGACTGGGAATCATTCCTGTTGGGTTAGAAATGAAATTTCGTAGGCGTAAAATGAGGCTGACCTCTCGCAACGGGATGGCGCAGCTCGGGACCGAGATCCTAAACAAGATTGTTGAATTGCGATTGGACTGCCAGCTCTTTGGAGCTGAAAGAAAAAAGCCTCGTCAGACTGGCAGTACGCATGTACTTGCACTGCATGTACAGCTTGAGGAAGCCAGCCAAGGAGCTCACACGACAACACGTGTTTCATATCCTCTCAGAAAACTTCCTTGCATCCTTTCTACTTGAAATAAAAAATTTCGGCTCTGGCGTTGTGATGAAATCTCAACTGAAGCGTGCTGCCGCACGCGCATACGTGACATACCGAGCCCGTGACCCGGCCCCGGGCCGGATCTCTCAGCTCGCGCCCGACCGGTCGGGTGGGACCGAGGCGGACGTGATTGGATTACCTTTCGCAGCCCGCACGAACGGAGCTGCAGGCGAGGGGCGGGGGAAGCTCTAAATTTCTGGGAGAAGGATGCGTTGCATGGGGCCTAGGGGGACCGTAACTTGCAGGTGATTATCGGGGTGCATGCATGACAGAGTTTCGATGCGGATTGAGTCGATCAGCAAAGGAGAACGTGGCCGCGAGAAAGCCTCGTAGCCGCAGACGACTATCCCTGCCCTGCAAACGCGATTCGCCCTCGCGGGCAACGTTTCTCGTCCGCTGTTCCAACATTTGATGATGAGAAGACGAAGGAAGACTTGCCAGCCCTCGTTGAGGTTTGGTTGAGCGCTCGTACGACGTCCCGTGGGATGACCGTTTAGCAGGCCATTTGGCATCGCCAGCGAGTCGGGCAGACGCTCAGATGAACATGGCCGCGCCTAATACCCCGCTAAGAGCTCCCTCGTGGCTGCGTGGCAACCCCGCTTGCGCCGCTTCCGGCGACAAAGCCTCTGTTGGGCGTCTGTTAACCGAAGCCAATACGCCTGTTAAGCCACTGGCTCAGGTAGGAGTACAGCGACGAAGGTTGGGTTAAGGTCATATGCGGCGGTTCAGGGTACTTTCCGCGAATCCAGACACCGACCGCAACGATTCAACTCATCCAAGCGTGACCTTCATTGTCGTATGTACAGCCAAGTACGAAAGAAACTTAGTCAAGTGGGGGAAGGCTCATGGGAACCGCCGCTGGTTCTGCTAGTAGACGGCATACGCCGGCCAGATTGAGATCGACCCGCAGATGTGGGAGCGGCTACGACATCGCCATTTTCGACCCTTAGGAGATCTGGCCCTGGACACCTAGGGACTGTGCTAGGGTAACCCATCCGGAAACGAGGCGAGGTCTGGTCGAGAATCTGGGCTGCGAAGCGTTCACGATCAACGTCGCTTAATGCCAAGCTCCATGTGTCGATTTGCTTCATGGTGGCGGGCATTTGCGAACAAAGAACCGCTGCTAGGAGTATCCACTGCAAAACTTCGGCTCTCGTAGACGCAACCGAGCCATAGTCAAAAAGATGGGCGGTTTTTGGACCCTGAGCGATGGATGAGTGACGTGGGGAGGCAGGAAAAAGATCGCCTCATAGTGCAGGAGCTCCGAGATGAACAGAGCGTCCATTTCTTTTCTGACACACAACCATCCCATGGTCAATGGCCACGTCCTCTGCCACGGCGACACGGATGCACTGACAGTCGGAATTTTTGCGTAGGAGCAAGGCAACAGAATTGAATTGTGGGGAGAGCTGTCTCTGGAGGAAGGCTGTGCGTTTCCATACGCTCATCCGTAGTCTGACCGTCCGAGCTCGAGGTGTTGAGAAAATAGGGGATGATCTGACGTACGGCGCATTGTCGATGGGCCGGCAGGGAGCGGGTTTATGCAGTGAGGCGGAGAGTGTTATGCAAACCAGCGGTTGGTCTCTGGCGCTAGTGTCCGTAGCAGAGGTTTCCAAGGCTGGGCCAAAACGATAATAGTCAGGATGTGCTGTACACAGTATGTTATTGGTTTTTTAGGTACTCACTGCTGTAGGGGCTTGTTCATGGCAGGTCCAGGTGCAGCTGGACAGTTCATCGTCCCATCAGTTGCGCGCGTGAGATGGATTGGACGGTGTGCTTTGCGTCTGCATGGTGGTTGCATTCTCGCGAAGCCGGTTGCAGCCAAGTCAGGTACGGTTGCATGAGGTGTGGGATGAGGTTTAGGTTCGGTTGGTTGGGAGGATCGAGATACCTGCAGCCCGAGGCCGAAGTCGACTGCGATGTGCTGCAATTGCATCACCGGCCGTACACCAACGAGCTTGATCTGTTGCAGGAATCGAGCCTTCGCCATTTGCTAATCCCTCTGCTCGTTCCGGGCTCGCCTAGACCATGAAGCAGCGTGGATGGCTTTGGTCGTGGATGCAGGTCTCGACTACGAGTTGATGTCAAATAAGAGAACAAAGAGGGAGAGACATAGGCAAGAGAGGGTATCGGTATAGACCGGATGACAGGAACAAGAGCCGAAACGGGAATAGATAGCGCGATGCGGTTCAAGACCCGAAGGCTGTTGCAA